AATTAAAAGAAGTAGAAACGTAAAAATACATTGGAATTTTTTTTCTATTAACTTCTTATGAAAAGTTATTTTTATTATAAATAAAATATAAAGAGTATCTATATTTTATTATAAATGTAACTTAATTTTGAAGTGAAAATGTCGACAATCGTGAAAATCAATTAAAAACTGCACGTGAAGCAGACGCCGCGATCGGCACTAACCACGTTACTCGTAGTTAACGGGAATTCGGTTATTTCGTTAAAAAACTTCACCGAGCTATCGTTAAAAGTTATACAGATAAGCTCTGGGGAGACGCTGGCGCGGACGATGCAGTTTTTCCGCTGTCGTCCCACTATGTAGTAAAATTACTATGAAACAAACAACTGCACACATTTGACACTTTAAATACACACTACAAAAGAAATATAGGTTTCGAAGTAAGTATAAAAACTTTTCACGGGACTTTTTTTCTTTTGTGGTCTGTCAAATATTCTCTTTAAACAAAGACAATGAGCAATAAATATAAATGTATCAGACTAGTACAATTTTGACATATATATATAGTATTTACTATCTGTACTTTATTATCTGCTAACCTGACTTGGCTACACATTTGCGGAATAAAAATAATGGTTTAGACAAAATAAAATACGTACTTTCATCCATAGAAACGACCCTCGACGTAGGAAAATTGATTATTGAGTTTAGTTACAAACTGTCAAGACAAGTAAAAGACCTTATTCTGATTCAGATATTTTTTCTTTTTTAAGTACTTGCTTAAACCTTTCTGATGGCTCTGTGGTAATGAAAGTATGGAGGTTTTACGCGTTATGTAAACTTTTTTTTATTACTGTAACATTACGTGCAAATGTGTTAAACGTCAAAAAAGGCATTGTTGTTGTTGAACTTTGAATGGCATTTATAATATCGCGATTCAATCATAGATTAAGTTTTTTATTCTGTTGACACATTGGTAGCTATTATTCAAACAAATTGATCTATAAAAATGATTTAAATGCCACAGTTGTAACAGTTTCCTGAAGTATTTTTTTTTAGATTGAACACTAAATCTTTAAAATATCCCAACTAAAATGTGTATTTCAATACGTGTTGAGTTACTATAATATTTAAAACCCCAAAAAAATCGAATTTTAGGTTTTATCGATTAATGTGATATGTCTGTCCCGTCACGATATTTTATAATATGATGCCAAAACCTTGCATGTGTATGTTACATACATTCTCCTTACATCAAAGAAACTCAAATATCTAGTAGGTATACGGAGCACAAACAAATCATTCCTAGAAATGTCTTACTCCTCCTTATCTTAATTTCATGAGGTTGCTTCCTACGTCACGTACCTATGTTTGTGTAGTTCTCGTCACATACACAGGACCATTCTGTTTCTCTCTCGTGTGGAATCAATTGTGGTCGGTGCCCCCGTCGCGGCAGATTGCTATCTAGCACGCGATCCCAATCACCCGGCCCTACGCACGCGACGTCGAACAAAAGAAACTTACCAATCGAAAATTATATCATTCCACAATTTTACTTCTTCATTCTAACATTATCGTGTTTTATTGAATGTATTTTTTTCGTATCGTTTTCACACGTTACCCTCATTCTAATAAATCCAGAAGTTTGAGACCAACTGAATGCTGAGAGGAGTTGCGTGAAGCTTTACACGCAGATAGAATCACGAGATCGGTTCGAACGAAAGCCATCCTGCCCCATATTATTTGCACCATTTCATAGCTGCAGCAATTGACACCTAATTTTAAGTCAGATGCCCGTTAATGCAACTATTTCTTTAGCATATAATTAACAATTCAAATGCGGTACTTTTTTCCTTGCTCTGCAACACTTTCGAGCGGCCCTGACGTCCGCTGCCAACGACGACTCGAATGCAAATGAGCATCGACCGCCACTGTGACGTATAGAGCGCGCACTTCTCACCCCTTTCTTGCGACTACCCGCCAACTTGATTTACAATCCCGGATACGAGCTCCCCGTTCGAATGCGACCTATACGGTTAAATTACGAACGTTACTTTTTTCACTATGTCACAGTGACACTGTAATTTAGGGCACCGCCCCTTTACTTTCCAAAGCCTTTGAATATTCATACGACTATAGCAATCAATAACGACCACAAAGAAAATAGTTTTCGCGTGCACGCACGCGATATAATGTCGCATAAACAAATAATTTCTTCGTTTTTATTGTTATCCTTGAATTATGTTGTTGCCACTCGAACTTACACAGCCCCTTATCCCGCCGTCGGTCAAAAGCGATCAAACGACGACCGATAAATTTTAAACTTCCGTGACTGGACGACGTTAATTTAACGTTTTTTTAAATATCCATCAAAAATGCACAACTTCATGGCCATAATAAATACTGATATCGTTACATACTTTATCGTCTGCTAGATAAGAAAGACGAATGAAAATTAGATCAATAAACGGACTTGTAACAGTTAGAGAGTAGCCACGTCCCAGACGCCATGTTGATGACTTGACGCGTGTGTACAAAATGGCGCGTCTAATATTGCGTCAAACTCCAGTGGAAATAACCTCAGTTTTTTGACAATATTTCGAAGCACGTCGCAGTAATTGCCCGCGTGCCGTTTACAGAATAACAAAATGTCTGCAACAAGATCAAAGGCATTAATAGACGTGTGTTGAAATTTATCGACGGCCGTATGTCGAAGGATGAATATATACATACAAATCGCGTCGAGCCGTTCATCTGTGATTACAAAATTATCTACTATATTTGCGAGACGTTTTATTTATAGTGCGAGTATTTTTATAGTTTTTGTCTGTACATCTGTCCACTTACTCGGTATATTAAATTACCCAGTTCATAAGAGATAACTGCGTGCCTCACATTTTGATTCGCTGCGATATGTCAAGTGGTTTTGAAGTTACAAAAGCAAAAAAAAACTGGCGAGACCGCCGTGAGGCGAGTCACGGGTTTGAAATAAACTAAATAATCAGCTAGGCGTCGTCGTCTCACGAGACATGGGTGACATGCTAATTATGTTTTGATCGGCACTTATTGACATAACGAGTGATTTTTACTATAAAAGCCGTGTGTTTGAATTTTGAATGTGAATTGTTTAATAACTGTCATCAATGTTTAAAAACAGAACTTACCTCATACTTTTTTTATAAACGACTCATGCATCGAATACTTTTTTATGACTGTTTACAACATTGCCTGTGATAATCGTTTGAAAATTAGAGGCCGGGTTTTTTTTTTGCAGTAATTATTTTCCTTGAATATGACCTTATGCTTTTGGAAATAAAAATTTAATGTAGCTATTTACACAAACATTAGAAACTCAATTTACAAACGAATCACGTATATAGAGTTATTGTCTAATATTATGGTCGCACAAGATCATAATCTAGAATATGGCCATTTCAACTATATTTGTATCACGTTCGTTAAGTAGTTATGTTCGTGAATAGTGGATTTCACAAAAAAATATTGTCTATAGAAGGACATGACAGTGCTTTGTATAATTCGGAACGTGAGACTTACCAAAAAGTGACAAGTTTGCCTAGAAAGTAGAAACAATCTACTTTTATTAACCATAGACAGAACCATAAGCAGCAATAAAGAAAGTTGAATTAAGAAGGTTTAATTATGACAATTAAACATGGAGTCTTGTGACTTGTGCCGCATGCGGTTTTGCATCGAAATCCAACACTTTATTATTGTCGACACACAAACAAGCAATGCCATTGTGTTTTATCTTAATTCATTTTGAACTCTTAATAAATAAAACATACTTTACGTTCCAATAAAACTGCGGAGTGAGTTTTCGAAGAAAAACAATTGGATCGCAGTCCATTATGCTTTTTATTGTCAAATAATTAGAGGCGAACTCAGCGCATCAACAGACAAAACTAAAATTAACTTGTGAGAAAATTAACGTGCATATTGTCGGTTTTAAAATAAAATTTAAGGATGCAATTAAGTCTTTGTGATCCTTGAAAATTAATACGTCAACTCACCAAACGATCCATTTTCGGAGTCGTTAAAATACCACAAAGTAAATAACATTATCGTTTTTTATTTAAAACTTGACGGTATGCCGATCTTTACCTACCCAGTGTAGTATCACAAAATCTACCTAACTTTGAAAGATACCATTCAATTGTTACCATGTTCATAAGATTAAATAAATGGCGACGAAGCGCTAACACCGTTCATATTAAACACCAAAAATTCTTTGAACTCAAAATATACTGTAACAAATATTACCCGCAAGAGATTCGAGTATCCGAACATTATGCTCGCAATTTAATTCTATAATGATCTCGGCTAACGTCTAAAACTAATTATGCGACTTAATTAAAGTAATTCCATGCGTACATCACCATCTAAACAGTGTCATTTCATTGTAAGAGCGGGGACAATATGTTGACAGGATGAATGACCACAGTATGGCGGGCAATTTTCACGCGTAACTTCTGTTGTTTATGGTTGCGCTCGCGCAGTTTTAGGATTACTCGGCTTAGGCGATGAGTGCAAGGTCCCATTCAGCGATTAACTTTAAGGCGCCATGCCATCCCTGCACAGTTTAAATGATGCGCCTAATTTCAATTGTACCAAATATAACTTGCGTATTTATTACTTGGCAACAGTTGATGCTACTAACACGGATGCATGCAGCTTGCGTGTGTGTGTACGTAAGGAACAATTTAGCGGCAATTAAAATTGTCCGTGTGCGACTTCAGATGCAAAACGATAGAACACACACGCATATATGTATCTACAGATCCCTAAATTTACAACAAAGAGTGATATAAAATAAAAATATACTTAGGCATGTTATAAAACATTGCATTAATTGCTAATCTATTTTAAACCACTTAAATAATTTGCAGATTAAGTTAATAATTAAAAAGATCAACATACGATAAATGACAAGTGACACGTATATCTGAAAGTTATCACCGTCCAACACAACCAAATTAAAATTATAATTCTTTTATTTCTAGTTGGGACTAAGGATGGCAACTGCGCAGTTTACGGTAGACCTGACGGTGAAGGCGATGATAGGCTCGCGCACGCCATACTCAATGAAGCCTCACACCTCATGAAAACGTCCTCAAACCACCCCAATAATGACGACTCCAGGAGCAACGACGACTCCAGCTCACCGCGGACACAATGCCAATCTCCGTTTTCTAATAAGGTATTAATAATGAAATGAACTCAATAATTAACCTGACAAAATATGATAAGAAGAACTATCTGATACTAAAATACGTGTTACGAAATTATTATTTCAGGAGTCCAGTCAGAACAGAAGACTTAAGAAGTATGAAAATGACGACATTCCCCAGGAAAAGGTGGCGCGAATTTATCAGGATGAGCTAACTAAAATTATGACTCGGAGAGTAGAAGACATACGGCGCGAAGGGTTTCCCGGGTAAGCATACATTTTTTTAATTAAGTTATCATATTATTATTTGAATCTTAAACTAAATAGTAACTTAAATGAGAACAGCACATCTCAAACTAATATATAGCATGTTTCCTCCATTTTTCAGCGGCGGCATGCCACCACACATGGAACGTCCACCAGAAGACATCCGAATGGCACTAGAAGCTTATCACAGAGAACTTGCCAAAATCCAGCCAGCGGGAAACATTCCCAACTTGCACAACTTGCCAGGAATGCCACCGTTCCCCAACCTCCTTGCGCTTCAGCAACAGGCTATGCAACAAGCTCAAAATCAACAAATAAATGGCTCCGGAGCGGTCCAAGATCTCTCTCTGCCTAAAGATAAAACCGCCAAATTGAATGGAATGACTGATAGTGATAAGGATAGGCCAATGGATGCCGAAGAGGCTATTAGACACGCGGGAAGCGCGTTTTCATTAGTAAGGCCCAAACTTGAGCCTGGACAGCAATCAACTGGATCATCTGCATCCAGTCCGCTTGGCAACGCAATATTACCGCCAGCGATTACCCCCAATGAAGATTTCAGTAGTTCAGCTGCAGCAAGCCCACTGCAGAGGATGGCATCAATCACGAATAGTCTGATCTCCCAACCTTCAAACCCTCCCCATCACCCACCTCAGCAGCGGTCGATGAAAGCAGTTCTTCCGCCGATTACACAGCAACAGTTCGATCTCTTTAATAATTTAAATACTGAGGACATTGTGAGGAGAGTTAAGGAGGCTTTAAGTCAGTACTCTATCAGCCAAAGACTATTCGGTGAATCAGTCCTCGGACTATCACAAGGATCTGTCAGTGACTTACTAGCTAGGCCTAAACCGTGGCACATGCTTACGCAAAAAGGACGAGAGCCGTTCATCCGAATGAAAATGTTTCTGGAAGATGACAATGCTGTTCACAAACTAGTCGCATCACAGTACAAAATTGCGCCTGAAAAATTGATGAGGACTGGAAACTACAGCGGAGCGCCTCGTAAGTGTTTATTACTTATGTTTTGTTACAAATCTGAACTTACAAATGAAAAGTTACAAAAAACAAATCGTCAAGTTCATTTATAAGTCTTCGCTTACTTAACGATAAATGTCTAATCTCTTCCTTTTTCTCTTTCCAGCATGTCCGCCTAACATGACCAAACCAATGCCTCCAACGCAGAAAATGATTTCAGACGCCACTTCGTTACTAAGTAAAATGCAACATGAGCAGCTCTTGGGACCAGGTCACCTTGGCCATTTGGCTCAGGCCACGCCCCTGTTACTAACGCCACCCGGTTTCCCACCACATCATGCAGTGACGCTACCACCCCAGCATCACGACAATAACAATAAGGAAAGGAAGCCACCACCTCCTCCTCCTCAACCTCACCACGCGCCCCCAATTATGCGCAGCCTTCACCAACACATATCGCCCAGTGTTTATGAAATGGCTGCTCTTACACAAGACTTAGACACACAAACGATTACGACAAAAATCAAGGAAGCGTTATTAGCAAATAATATTGGTCAAAAAATTTTCGGCGAAGCTGTCTTAGGCCTTTCGCAGGGCTCCGTCAGCGAATTACTATCGAAACCTAAACCCTGGCACATGCTTAGCATCAAAGGCAGAGAACCCTTTATTCGTATGCAACTGTGGTTAAGCGATGCTCACAATATTGACCGCTTACAAGCTTTGAAGAATGAGAGACGTGAGGCGAGCAAAAGACGGAGGTCTAGCGGTCCCGGACAAGACAACTCTTCTGACACTTCTTCAAACGATACGTCTGAGTTCTATCACTCGAGTTCACCGGGCCCCACAACTGGAGCGCCCTGCGCCAAAAAACAACGGGTTTTATTCTCAGAAGAGCAAAAGGAAGCTCTAAGATTAGCTTTTGCTCTCGATCCATACCCAAACATGCCGACGATCGAGTTTCTCGCCGCCGAACTGGGTCTCTCATCTAGAACTATTACCAACTGGTTTCACAATCATCGCATGCGCTTAAAACAGCAGGCCCCACACGGGTTGCCGGCTGAACCTCCACCGCGAGACCAATCGTCGGCTCCATTCGACCCTGTTCAATTCCGTCTCCTTCTCAATCAAAGGCTGCTCGAACTTCAAAAGGAAAGAATGGGTTTAGCGGGTGTGCCGCTGCCGTACCCGCCGTACTTCGCGAACTCGAATCTGGCGGCTCTGATAGGTCGCGGGCTGATGCCACCCGAAGAACCAGCGAAGGACCAGTCCGGCGGTCTCGATCTGTCGATGCCGCTCAAGCGGGAACCCGACGGCGACGATTTCGAGGACGAGGATGTGGAAAGCAACCTCGGCTCCGAGGACTCGATGGACGAGGAATCAAAGACTGAGCCGAAGGCGTCGTCCACTCCGGCCGGACGATCCAGCCGACGGAAGCCCGCCGCGCCGCAGTGGGTGAACCCTGACTGGCAGGACGAGAAGGCGCGTAACCCTGACGAAGTGATAATCAACGGTGTGTGCGTGATGAGAAGCGACGACTTCAGACGGGAAGCCGAGGAGACGGTGCGCGTGGAGCCGTCGCCTGTACCTCGCGAGGGCTCGCCTGCAGCGTCGCCGGCGCCGCGCACCCCGCGCACCCCGCACACCCCGCACACCCCGCACACGCCGCACACGCCGCTCACGCCCCACACTCCGCATACGCCGCGTCCCTCGCACACGCCCGAGGACGTCATCCCCGAGGACAAGATCAAAGCGGAGACCGACGACGGCTGGGAGTACTGAGCTCTAGGTGTGCCGCAATGTGGCGAGTAGACTGTTCAGCGTATCGCGTTCGGACGATATTATTTATTGTGTAGCGAGTGTCCGTCGGTTCAGTGCGAATGGTACTGTGTATGTAGCTAGTGTTTGTTGTAATTCGATTGTAAGGCCAAAGACTGTACATAATACCCTCGTAGCTTCTCGTGATACGCCAGGCGAGTCCCGCTCCGGGACGAAGTAAACCTACGATACAAAAATATGCATTTTTGCTTTAATTTTAAATGTACCCTGGTTAGGTACAAATATCTGAATATTTTTAAGTTATACGGCTTTTTAATTCGATTGTAAATAAATATACCAAATATATGTCGAATGTTGCCTGTAAACCAGACCCTGTACATACATAGGCTAGTTACGTTCGTGTAAGATAAACCCAGTTGATACTGTTAGGGTAAGGGAACGATCATTTATTGTTAATGAAAATTATAAAGTGCAATCAGATGTAAATTTAAGCTATGGTTTAACGAGCCCCAGTTGAAAAGTATTATTATGTTTATTAAAACCGGCGAGGTTTAAAATATTATAATCGGGTTATATAAGTTTAACATTTAAATTATTCATGTTTATTTTATACTTATTATATGTTTTCTATTGCATTATTTTATGGCGCCGCCGCGGGACCGCTCAACTATGACATGTGACGTTCGTTGACATATTGTAACTGTCAGTTGTCACACGCCCACTGTCACCTCTGATTCCGTACAGTCACTATATTGTTTGTTTATTATCTTTTTTATATATTTTTTTAGAAAATGTACAAATCAAGACAAAATAATACGACTAAGCAAATAATGTATTGCTTATGGTTCATAGTTTTATTTTATTTTAGCAATAAATTTGCTTTTAATCTTATTTCCTTTTTTTTATTTTTTTCCTTATTTTCCTTTTTTTCTTAGGAGATATATAAGTAAGTAAAATAATGTAAATTTTAAAGGAACCATACTCCTTGCATCATGATGTACATATTTATCTTCATTTTAATGTAAATATCTTATCGAAATGCCACGTTAGCATAATATATAGATAAGTAGGAAATTAGCTTACCCCTAAAAATAACTTCGTAAAAGGGTAAATCATGGATAATCGAAATTATTATCATTCTAAAAGTGTATCGAAAATTGTAACGAAAATAATGTCATAATAGATTTAGTCATTCAAATAAAATCAATGTTCTCGACGAAAATTCAAATTTTACATGAAGATGGATTAAAACTCTTTCTAAATACATACAATTTTAGAAATACCAACATACATATCGATGTTTTATATAAACAGTAAGTTAGTTAAGTAATAGCATGTAATAGTCAATATTAAAGAAATACTTAGGCTGTTTAACAGTTATAACGGTTATTTTAACTCTCAAATCTGTTGTAAGTAATGAATTAAATTTTTTAACGTAATCAAATTGATTTCTAGAGTCATTTCATAGCTTTTTGCTTTTAAAAGAATAATATACTTATATATTATGAATATTATTGTTACTTAATATAGGTGCGTCTAATATTTCAAGATCAGGGATAGATACTGTCGAAAAAAACAGACCATTTTGAGTCGATTTTCTTTGTTCTGTATTTTATCTCTTTTAACTCGAATAGTTTTGCATGTACATGTACCTAACTCACAAAAGTGTACATCCATCAGGCCATGGAACAATTGCATAAAACCAACGGAAAATACTTATATTTCGATTCGATCATTCATATTCCATCATTGAAAGATTCTGCTTCTTCTTCTTGAATGTTCTTCTTCTTGATTCATAACTGTGTTCAAAGAAAAGAAACTACCTTCTGAACCGAATGTTGCCTATACAATACAAACCGTACTTTTATTGAAGAGTTAAATAAATTTTTACTATTTTACCTTAATACAATAAGTTTCTGATCCAAACCCAGTAGTGCTGTGCTTGTAGGGCTGTTAAACAGATATCAAAGACAACTTGTTTTACAAACTTTTTGATGTAAAAAATATAGCATGAGATGTAACTGATGTCAGTAAACGGAATAATATGAATATTTATTTATAAAATTAAAAGTTACATTAGTTGATAGGTTCGCAATTCAATGCAAAAAGGGCGTAGCGATACCTTTTAGTAATTATGGTAGTGTACGTATACATGTACTCTAAAACCGGCTCTCAGGCAAAGAGCCAATAGAAACAATTTTAAGTAGTAACTGTACTTCTAGTCTAGGTGTTTGTAAACTCTTTTGCAGAAAGAAAAACATCTTACAAAGTAGGTAATTAATCGTTTGATCTCGTGAACAGTTTCATGACCAATTTGAATAAAACAAATTCTACAAAAATCTAACTATTGCAAATAAAGACTTTGCCAAACTTTTTGATAACTATAAGTTTAGGAAAGTCGGTTTGTTGGCAAATATTATCTATGACTAGATGAAGTCCCTCTTCCAGCAGTCTCTCTAGTCTCAGAACGGACACAAGGGTACGTGAGCATCACCTCAAATACAATTACGTACTGTTTTCCCCTCCGGATCTGCAGTAGCCTCTTTTTTATTTTTAGCCCCTTGCCTCATTGGGTTGGCTAACCTCCAAGTACCTACTTAAAAGAAGCCAGCTTTGTCCTTTTAATCAGATCACATCAATAGCCTTTAGTAGTTCACTGCGGGACAAAAGGCCTATTCTTAGAAAGGAGGTTTTGGCCTACTATAATACGCTGGCCAGACGGGTTGGTATAGGCTTTGTATCCAGTTTTCCTTCTCTTTGCTGCTGTCCTGCGTAGTTTGCTCCCTTATTCTCCTCTTACGACACCCACGGGATGAATAGGAGTGGTGACACTCCATATTCTTTATCCATCACCACACGAACTGTCCTTGTAATGTTAAACTACAAATAAAATCAGCAAAATGACAAGAATTTAGCTCCTTCTGTTAATAAAGGTTTATTTTTAGTCTACAGACATTTCCTAACTTAACCCAAATAGTATTTTACTTAATATGATAGCTAAGTACATAGTGAATTACAAATTGTTTGATTTCAAAGTCGGAGTTATTTGGCAGATATACTTTTAGATAATTGTTAAACCATATTTGCCAAATGGAAACCTATTTTTTTAATTAAGTTGAATAAATTTGAAGTATGACCAGGTTTAACGTTCTTTTCAATATGAAAAGATTTGTATAATGACAAACTGTTACACTTTATGCCTGAATATATAATTCATAATAGGTTCGTATAATAATAATATGAAGACATGAAGTATTTAGTAGGTATCTCCCTGAAATATTAGACGCCCCTAGTATATAATATGCCACCTTGTATTTTATTGTTACGTTGTGTGTTGGCGGTTAGACTGTAAATATTATCCCGGTAGCAAATAGATTATTATGCGTTATATCCATTATTAATAATGAATAGTATTAAAAATTATAGCGATAATTATTATTGTTCATATCATAATAATAATATTAATTAATATATGATGCTGAAAACCATTGTCTTCTTTCCGAACAATTTCTAAAATTATTAAAATTAAAAATAAAGAAATTGCTAATCATTTTTTGTTTTATTACAACTCTCATGAGATTTTCGTTGAAGATAAGGTGGGTAGAGGCAAGGAGAACCATCTCAGTGTATGAAAAATGTACGTAAAAATGCGTCCAGTAAGGGTGGCGCTGCGTTAGCATAGTTAACTTAAATAATAATTAGACACTGTGTACTAGTCAGCGAAAATAGTTAATGAGTTTTACAGTCAATAAATAAACGTGTAATAACATTCAGACAATAAACATATTATAATATTTGAACTCAGCACACTTCACTCCGTCTACAACAGTGGACATATCGTAGTTTTTTCGTACAGCTGGACATTCTTTCAACTTTCCCCTCATATTAGATGGTTCTCCTTGCCTCTACACTCCATGGCCTCCCATAAATTGGTATTAAGCTATTCTTTCGTTGCTTTACACAGAGTGATTGAGTACGGATGATATGAATGAAAAAACCCTGATAAATCGCTAAGGACTCATCTGGCTTTCCTATGTAAACAAATGAGGCGCTCAATTTATACAAGTAATGTTAATTAATTCACCTAGATAATGCAACGGAAGACTTCGACGCAGAAGGATTTCCATTGAGTAGGTATACCACAGCAGCCGGTTTCATGACGACGGATGATTTTGTTGAGAGTTAAGGAGGTCAATCTTCAAATAATTCTAGTTTCTTTGATCAGTAAAGATAAGTATTACATAAGATACACCTATATAGAGCAAGATACTAGGGCCCCCAGACGTTACTTATTTACTTAGAAATCTATGGATTAAGTAATATAAATATAATAATAATATAAATACGGTACCTATGCATTTTGAGTGTATGCCGTCCCTTAGAGCATTAAACCAAACGGAGTGGACGCTCGCTGTCTTTCCTACCACAATATTTCTGCCGTTTTTGGTTTAATGCTCTGCTCTAATGCTTAGGTCGACGGCTTATAAGCAGGTAGCCGGTGCTAAAGCTTAGTAAATATAGTATTTTACATTTCTTAAAGTTTTAGCACTCATTTTTATGTAAGTCTTAGAGAATTTGGTTAAAAATTATAATTAATACTGTCAGACACTTTCCGTCGCCAGTAACTTTTACAAAACGCTTTAAGGCTCCCTAAATATAGTGTAACTTTCCTTATAATCTCAGTCATGATATTATACATGCAATTCATTGAACTGTTTTAATACTCTTTGTGAGCATCCAGACCAATCGGATGGACCAAACATGCCCCCCGACCCACGCAAAAGTGTAGCTTTAGATATGACAGGGAGCGTGATAATTAAATAGTTTGATAACATAGCTTTATAAAATAATGGTTATAACAGTCAAATTATAATGCTACCTTCAAGTAAATACTTACACTACTTAATCAAATACATTTTGTTTCTAAGAAATAAGTAACTTCTTTTAACGGGCCCTTTTTTCTTTCTTTTTTTTCTGTGCGGCTACGTCAGACTTGAACCGACTAAAATCCGCACGCCGTCTCGAGTACCAGTAGCCAGGGAACCAGAAAGGAACCCTAGAAAGGAAATCCGTGGTGCCTATACGTACCTTGGGTTATCTACGGCGGATAGATGACCCCCTCCTGTGTGGGAACCACCATGTTCCCTTTGTGCTCCCGAAAGGACGCGCGCTCTCTGCAACGCATCTCGCCGCCACCACGGCCTGCTTCTGCCATCTGTCACCCCCAGGCCTACGCCCTGGGACGTTTAGGGGCCCTGGGATCTTGAACTAATATTTGATTGCACGAAACTGTTGGCAAGCTGAAATACACCATTCTTAAAATTATTTTAATGCAAATATATGTTTAAACAATCTCCAAAATTAGAATGGTCCCCCAACACTACGCCCAAGAGACATTTATATTAACATAATAATTTTGCATTAAAATACTACCTACATGTATACAACAAAATTTAAAAAACAATTCTCCAAACACAAATCTTTGATATTAAGTGATTCAATTGAGTATTGATTCTGAAACTCACTGGAAAAAAATATATTTAGCTCATATTTTTAGACCTATTGTAGTTCTTACCATAGTATTTTATGACCCTTTATTGCCCGACAAAACTATATTGATAGTCAAATAGTAACTAATGAAACTGGCTTTAGCATGTTTTTTCTTTATTCCTTTAAAAATCACAAAACAATGTACATACTAATAACAACAATGCAATCTCAAATACAACTAAACAGCACAAAGTCTTAGTCCACCTCTTCAATGACGGGACCATCACCTTCTGAACTTTTAGAATTGGAGCCAGCGCTACCTCCGCGACGCTTCTTCATCAAAGGTGCACACTCTTTTGTAATCTCTCGAAGCCGGTCTTCATATTCCCCTTTATCAGCGAGAGAATTTCTCTCCAACCAGGACAATGTCTCGTCACATTTGCGTCGTATTTTAGATCTTTCGCTCTCTCCTACTGAACTCCCAGCTTCATTAAGAGCCTGCTTCACGGCAAATACATAAGTTTCCAGTTTATTTCTCGCTCCAATTCGTTCACGTTGTCTATTATCATCAGTCTTATATTTCTCAGCTTCAGATAACATTTTATCGATCTCAGCTTGAGAAAGTCGACCTTTATCATTCTTTATGATAATATTTTTAGTTTTACCAGTGCTATTCTCTTTCGCCGAAACGTTAAGAATGCCATTCGCATCTAAATCAAATGATACATCAATTTGCGGAACACCGCGGGGTGCAGATGGTATTCCAGTCAAATCAAAATTGCCAAGCAAGTTATTGTCCTTAGTCATCGCTCTTTCACCCTCGTAAACTTGTATGCTTACGGCCGGCTGATTATCAGAATATGTAGTGAATGTCTGGGAATGTTTGCAAGGTATTTTGGCATTGCGTTCCACAATAGTCGCCATAACACCTCCGGCTGTTTCAATTCCCAAGGACAAAGGAGCTACGTCTACTAATAAAACATCTTTTATCTTTTTGTGGCGATCTCCACTTAGTATTGCTGCTTGTACAGCCGCTCCAAAAGCCACGGCCTCATCAGGATTGATTGACAAGTTTAGTTTCTTACCGTTGAAGAAATTTTGCAACATACTTTGTATTTTAGGTATACGCGTAGAACCTCCAACAAGAACAATGTCTTGTATACTGTTTTTATCCAACTTAGCGTCACTAAGAGCTTTTTCCACTGGTTGCAAAGTTGTTCGGAATAAATCAGCATTTAATTCTTCAAAACGTGCTCTGGAAACTCGAGAAAAGAAATCGATTCCCTCAAAAAGCGCATCAATTTCAATGGTGGCCTCCGTGCTAGATGATAAAGTTCGTTTTGTCCTTTCAGCTGCTGTTCGAAGTCGTCTTAAAGATTTAGGATTCGATTTTAAATCTTTCTTATGCTTCCGCTTGAATTCATCTGCAAGAAAGTTAACCAGTCTACTGTCAAAATCTTCACCGCCTAGGTGTGTGTCACCGGCAGTAGCTTTAACTTCAAAAAGTGACCCTTCATCTATAGTTAATATTGATACATCGAATGTTCCTCCTCCTAAATCAAATATCAATACGTTTCGCTCTCCTTTCAAATCTTTATCTAATCCATAAGCCAAAGCAGCTGCTGTCGGTTCATTTATAATGCGAAGAACGTTTAGCCCAGCGATAGTTCCAGCGTCTTTAGTAGCTTGCCTCTGAGAATCATTGAAATAGGCAGGCACGGTTATCACAGCTTTTGACACAGACCTCCCCAAATAAGCTTCAGCTATTTCCTTCATTTTAATGAGCACCATACTACTAATTTCTTCTGGTGCAAAGCGTATAGATTTTCCTTTGTATTCAACTTGTATTTTTGGTTTACCTCCATCGTTAACTACTTTAAAAGGCCAATGTTTGAGATCTTGTTGGATCTTTGGATCGTCAAATTTACGTCCAATCAAACGTTTTGCGTCAAATATTGTGTTTCTTGGATTCAGAGCTACCTGGTTTTTAGCGGCGTCTCCGATAAGGCGCTCTGTATCAGTAAAGGCAACATACGATGGTGTGGTACGATTGCCCTGTTCGTTAGCTATTATATCCACATTACCGTGCTGCCAGAAACCCACGCACGAATACGTCGTTCCTAGATCAATGCCCACAGCCGTCATATTATTGTTTTGCTCTCACTCTGTTCGTTAGTTACTTAATTCACTGGATTTATTCAACTTTTCATCACACTGAATTTATTGTATTTTTATTTTGACGTTATTTCAAACCTGGAATATGAACCAATTAAAAATAGGTTTTAATTGAGATAGCAAACTAAGTCTGTTAATTTGTCTATACAGTAGAGTATTTATATACACAAACACAACAAACAAGGTAGTTTCACTAAGATACCACGATCACTAAAAGAATGACCATACGCGGCACGCTTAAAGATCCTAAAACTCACAACTCTAAAGAATCGAATAGATCGTGGAGACTTAGTTGAAATATACAAGATCTTAAATGGACAATATGACCTTCAAAAGTTTAATAAAATATTCATAAGAAATGACAATACTCATCTAAGAGGCCACAATCTTAAGCCTTGTACCATCGTCTCGAACACCAATCGTCACAAACACTTTTGAAGCAATCATGTAGTCGGAGTGTGGAACGAGCTGCCAGCTGATGTTATATCTGTCCAAAATGTAAACCAATTCAAAAATCGAATAGGCAGATATTTAATTGAATCCAAGAAGATAGGAATCTCTCAGGATATAGGCTTTTATCAGTTGTTCCAACTATCTGCCTGTCTGCAATAACCATCATCATCTCAGCCGAAAGAAGTCCACACACAACAACTGGTGCTATGCTGCCCGCATCCAACGGCTTCCCACGACCCGAGTAATAATAAAAAGTAATCAAAACAAAACTTACAGATCATTGAAAAATAACAATAACATGATTAAGGCATGTTAATGACTCTGAATTTATAATTTTTTAATTAAAAGTCATTTATGTCCTATGTTGTGACATTAATTAATTATTATGTATTAAAGTTTCATCAAAGCATGTAGTTCACTTCTCTCTAAGTCTATGACAATATTTTTACGACGAATAAAACAGTATTGATACTATTAACGTACATTTTAACTCTACAGCCAATACTTCCTTGTGTTTGTTAAACAAGGTCTTGCAGCAAAACGTGTTCTTTGACGTTCTATATCATACTGCTCCCATTCTAGAAAATTATGTTCTATAAAATATATAACTTTTAAGATTATCTTTTTATTCTATATAATATATATATATAATACTTCAGACGTTTCAAATTGAAATAAGTTCTATTAGTCAGGCTGGTGGGGCACATATATCAATGTGTGATACTCTATCGAGCATTCACACGATATCAAAACGCTTCAAGAGTCAACACCTTTGACAATTAATCTAAAATGACTTTGACAGAAAACGCCAAACAAAATAAAAACATAATTTGTGGTGCAAATTAATTTGAGTATTTGTCTTAGTTATTGTTTCGCGTGTTGTAATTTACGGATCAAATATTTTACACTTAACAATCTCGTCCGCTATATGGTCAGCATTTTAACTTAACATTTACAAAATCTTTGTTTAGCTGCAGAGGTAACTGGGCAGATTGGATTATAAGAAAAGTTAAATAATAACATTAAATTCAGTATTGTTGGAAAGATTATTCTAGCAATTATTGCATAAAATAGTCTATAACGAATATTAAAACTGTAAAACAGTTTTTTTATTAGTAAATACTTGCACACAAGTACAACATAACCTAGAAATACATGTTTTTAAATTATAAAGCTTAAAAAATGCGTTACGCACAACTAGTTGTTGGTCCTGCTGGGAGTGGAAAGGTAAAGTATCTAATTTAAGTTAAATTGATTAATAGGATTTTAAACGTTACTATTGATATATATTTATGTTGTGAATTTCTATATTTTGTGACTGCCGCATGTCGTAATAATTTAAAAATATTAATTACTCCTAGCCTATATGAACTTACTGAACCATCTAACGTTGGTTTTTAGCTTGAGATTGGCCGTATAAAAACTTATTACAAACAAAATATCCATAAAACCAAATTCATATTTCCCTAATATATTGTTTCACGATGCATATGTCATATTATATGTATATTTTTTGTTTTATGAAGCTTCAGAATTATTTGTTAAGACAATTTGTGAACAAAAAATGCAATTTAGGTATGAAAAACTAACAATTAAATGTTTTGTTTTTTAATTAAACAAAAAAAAATCATTTAAAAGAGAACGCTTAACATATACTAGTAGTATGATTTCTGCAGACTTTTATATATTACCCTAAATAACAATCATTCTCTTCTTTTACAATGAGCTTCACATACTTTCAATAAGTTAGAGGGCTTGACCTCTCCGTAATAACTAGTCTGAGTTATAGGTATAAGTTCCTGACCTTCTCCAGCCATTGCTGCCCCTCCCCAGTCCATCATTGCAGACAATAGTTTCCTTTGCTTTTTACGTTCTTTATTTTTTTATTCCCAACTAGCTTATGCCCGTGGGTCAGCCTGTGTGTATGTCGATTGTCGTGGTTAAAAGTAGCCAATGTCCTTGCTCAAGAATCAAACTATGTCCATACCAAATTTTAGCCAAATTGGTTCAACGGTTATTGATTGCTCATATAAACGCCCACTCCCCTTTTCATCCTCCTAATGGGTATTTTCTAGGATAAAAACTATCCTATGTCCTTGCCGGGAACTCAAACTATCTCTGTACGAAATTTAATCTAAATTGGTTCATCAGCTTAAACATAAAGAGATAACAGACAGACAGGCACACTTTCCCATTTTCAATATTAGTATGGATGTAACAATCAATTCTTAAAGTGCATAGTTTACTACCGTAAGCTTGTTCTTTAATACAAAAACAAAAAAAAAATACCTCTGTATGCCTCATCACCAATCACATTAACAGCTCCACTTAGAAAGGAGGTTTTGGCCAACTATACCACGTTGGCCAGACACGTTAGTATAGGGATATGTGTCAAGTTATCCTTCTCTTGGCAGTGCTGTTGTCCTGCATATTTTACTTCCTTAGTTGGCTCTTACGACCCCCACGGGATGAATAGGGGTATTGACATTCTGAATTCTTGATCCGCCACCACACAGATACCTACTCTGCATACCTATATATATTATACTCTCAATTGACGGCACTTGGTGGAACTTGTTGAAATACAATATGAATGAATTATATTAAACTACATGAATGTGTGTGTTTGTTTGCTTTCAGTCCACATACTGCTCAACAGTTGTGAAACACGCAAGTGATGCAAAACGAATAATCGAAGTAGTTAACCTGGATCCAGCTGCTGAGCATTTTGATTATGAGCCAATGGTGGATATACGAGAGCTGATACATCTGGATGATGCCATGGAGGATGAGGAACTCCAGTTTGGGCCTAATGGAGGACTTGTATTTTGTATTGAGTAAGTTATTTTACTAACAATGCTTATTTTACAGTTTTCACAAGGTGTAGTAGGCTCTTTCTCTCCACTATAAATATATTAAGTCATAAAAGTTATTTTTGGATTGTGACTGCTTTTAAAGCTATCCCCTTCATAAGTTATCCTACTAATTGCTAGTACAAGACAAAATAATTAAAAATTATAGAAACAAAATTACAATTATTTAATATATTATAAGTCTTATATACTCAGTAGGATATTATATGATACTATGTCGTCGTAATAATGAAACATGTTACGCCATCTATTATGATCTATAAAATTGTTATTAACCTATGATACCATAATTGATCAAAAGATGGCTTGGTCTTAATGGATCATTTTGTAGATTGCAATGTTAAAATGTGCAATACTACTGCTGAACTATCACATCATATAAAATATTTTTTCAACTTGGAGCATGCTTCTGATTGAGAAACCTACTTTTTTAATTATCAATACCCTACCTATGTACTTGTTTCCCCGAAGTTAAACACTGTGGGTTTTATATTCTTTTAGAATTACTGAGGCAGATGCAAACTTATTCGTTGATAAAAATGTTAGCATTGTCTAGGCATCAAACCTACGATTCAACCAAAAATCAAGTCAATATACTACCTACCTGAAATCTTATTTCGAACAATTTTATTATTTCCATATTTAATATTACCAAAATATAGTAACTTGGGTTTAGATTGGATGTACATACCAATTAATATACTAAATAGACACAATATTTATTTAAATTAATAACAATACATGGATATTATTGCTACTTTTAAATCATATTCATTTGATGAAATGATTGGTTTTAGTCACAGCAATATCACATGTGATACAATATAATAATCAATAAACATTATTTTTATCAAAAATTACGACCTTTGTTTTAGATTTAGACGATACTCTGTAATTACCAATAATTCTCAGTAATATTCGTTTATGATATTCGCTATTATTTTTGTTTTCTTGCTGTATCACATAACTAAACTAAAATTACACCGGGTCGCGTCAGGTATACAAGCTTAGCTCGTCTTATAGGAAGTTACAGAAGATTTGACTACTCCACTCTAGAATGTTCAACAATATATTATTATTCACGACGAGCGGATGGCGTAGTTTTTTGTGTAACGGACTGCTATTCAAAAGCTCGTGGGTTCGATTCCCGCTCAAGTTAAACATTTGTGTGCATGAACATTTAATGTTTGATTTGGTCTGGGTGTTTCTATATATAATATGTACGTATTTACAAAAAAAAGTATATTATGTATAATAAGCGGAAATAATTGGCAACACTTATTTTTATTGGGCGTGGCTTAATGACGTCACTTGCCGCTTGGAGTGAGGGAAGGATTGGAGAGGTGGGTCGTGCGAACGCGATCAGGGCTCTCTTGCGGCGACACCAGAGCTAGACGGACGTGCTGGGATTGCGTATTGTCAATATTTGTTGCTTGACTTGATTATTGTTAAGTGGGTGTTATTAAATTGTGTACAAGCATACATTCTCTTTTTTTAGTATTTCGAAATAGATTTATAACTTCAGAAGTGGGATTCCTCTCCGCTCTGAGCACGGCTTCCTTGATTTAAATTCAGTGTGCAATAAATTATTGTTGAGTAGAAAAAAAAAAAAGGGAGGAATAATTAAACAATGTCGCAAGGCAAAAGGCATAACGGTCGTAAAGGTAGTGACACGCCGCCTATCTCTGGTTTGGAGCAACAATTACAAACGATTTTGAATCGTTTGACTGCCTTTAAGATAGTTCAGTGAGTGGTGCTTCGAATAAGAATAATGCGGGTACGTCACGCGACGTTACGGCTCCTCCGAGTATGACGCTATCTTCGCACCTGGACGGCACTGTCGTGCCAACGACGGAGTCGGAGTCTTGCTCCGCAAGCTTCGCCGCATCCGTACCTTGCACGGGTACGGTGCAGTCCAGTGCCGACATGGTAATGAGTGAGGTTACCGAAAAACTTGTAAGTGTAATTAACGCTATACCGGTAAGGTCGAATCATATTTTTATATGGATTTTTGATCCATGTTTAAATGATTTCGATGTGTGGTGTACGGAAGTTGATCACGTGCGCAGTTTAAATCGATGGGATGATCGCGAGTGTTTGGCGCGTATAGGAAATTGTCTTAAGGGTGACGCGAAGCTGTGGCTCAACGAATGGGTTAGTAACGATCGTGGTTGGTCAAATTTCAAACGAGAATTTAAAACTTTGTGTCCATCACGGATTGATATTGCAAATATTTTGTTTGACGTGATGAAAACGAACTCCGATAACTACCCCACCTATGCAGAATATGCCAGGCGTTCCTTATTACGGTTACGCATTGTTAACGGAATGAGTGATGAATTAATAGCAGCGGTAATTATAAGGGGCATTACCGACCCGCAGATTCGCGCCGCGGCTACTAATGCGAACCTGTTACCTGACGGCCTAGTACATTGTCGGTACAGATGTATTAAATAGAGACGGTGTGACTTACACCCGGACGCGTGGAGTACAACGGCTTACGCGACGTGACAATGTTTTGCAAATCAAGTCTGATCCAATAAATGTGCTGATAGATACATCGCTGTCAGGTGCGGAAAGGGAACAATTAATGCGTATCATTAACGAACTTGGTAAGTATCTCGTTGTGGGTACGGCTACTACCACTGTGCATACAGGTACAATGCATATTAAGTTACATAATGAAACTCCAGTAGTCTACCGACCATACAAAATGTCTTATGATGAGAAACTGCGCGTCAGAAAGATAATTCGGGATCTACTTGAAAAACAAATAATTAGAGAGTCAGAATCAGCTTTTTCGAGTGCTATATTGCTCGTGAAGAAAAAGGACGGTAGCGATAGGCTTTGCGTTGACTTTCGCGCCTTGAACGCGAATACGGTAAAGGATCACTACCCCTTACCGCTAATAGATGATCACATCGACCGGTTAGGGAAAGCCAGGTACTTTACCAGTTTAGATATGGCCACTGGATTTCATCAGATAAAGTTGGATGAGGAGTCAATTCATCGCACGGGATTCGTAACTCCAGAGGGCCACTACGAGTATTTAAAAATGCCATATGGACTCGCCAACGCACCAATAGTATATCAGCGCATAATATCAACGCAAACTAAGCAGGACAACAGCACTGCAAAGAGAAGGAAAACTTGAAACAAACCCTATACCAACCCGTCTGGCCAGCGTGGTATAGTAGGCCAAAACCTCCTTTCTAAGGAGAGGCCTATGTCCAGCAGTGGACTCTTATAGGCTGTTGATGATGATGATGATGATGATGCATAATATCCACCACATTGCGTACATTCATCGATACTGGTAAAGCCTGCGTATATATCGATGACATACTGTTACCTAGCCATACTATCGCTGAAGGTTTACAGACATTACGGGAGGTTCTAGGAACCCTGACTAGTGCGGGGTTTTCTATCAACTTGAAAAAGTGTAGGTTTCTTACTACAGAAATAGAATACCTAGGTAGAACGATCAGTAATGGTCAGGTTAGGCCGAGTCTATTGAAGGTCCAAGCACTGGTCGATGCGAGGGTGCCAAGCAATGTTAAAGAAGTCAGACAATTTCTGGGTCTGGCTGCTATGAATTTGTTAGTTGGCGGTGATGGAACAACACCCGTCATACGAGCTCTGGTGCGTGATGTAGCTTTAGAGGCAACCAGTCCGAACCGGGAGTCGCTGCGTGAGCTTGCTCGACAACGTGCTTCGGAGTCTCTCGATGCGAACCGTTCCCGTCAGGACAGTCGCACTAATGAACGGCGCAAAGCTCCTCGCGTGTTCAAAACTGGCGACCTGGTATTTGTTCGCAAGACAAGTCAAGCCACGGGCAAGTTGGATTCCGGTATGCGAGGCCCATACAGAGTACTACAGACGTTGCCACATGGTCGATATGAGTTAAAATTAGTTGCAGGCTCTTACGGGAAGACCACCCAAGCAGCTGCAGAATACATAACACTTTGGCGCGGGGAATGGACCCCCGACGTATGTACCGCTTTCTTTGAACGTAAGCTACTTGTGCTCAACATCCTTTATTTATGAAATGCATAATGTGACCGTTATATTTATGTACTTGTTTCAAGCATCCTGAGGGCTCTGCTTGCTGGTATCGCATCCTGAGGGCTCTGCGATTATGGAGAACATCCTTAATGGTACTTCTCTGTGTACATCCTGAGGGCTCTGTACTTTCTCAAGCATCCTGAGGGCTCTGCTTGCTGGTATCGCATCCTGAGGGCTCTGCGATTATGGAGAACATCCTTAATGGTACTTCTCTGTGTACATCCTGAGGGCTCTGTACTTTCTCAAGCACCCTGAGGGCTCTGCTTGCTGGTATCGCATCCTGAGGGCTCTGCGATTATGGAGAACATCCTTAATGGTACTTCTCTGTGTACATCCTGAGGGCTCTGTACTTTCTCAAGCATCCTGAGGGCTCTGCTTGCTGGTATCGCATCCTGAGGGCTCTGCGATTATTGAGAACATCCTTAATGGTACTTCTCTGTGTATATCCTGAGGGCTCTGTACTGGTTTCAAGCACCCTGAGGGCTCTGCTTGCTGATATCGCATCCCGTGGGCTCTGCGATAATGGAAGATATTCTTGACACTGTTCCTAAGAGCAGCCTCTCGAACGACGGCTACAAGACTAATGCGAACAATGTTTTATGCTTCCTTTAGATGACAACGATGAGGAGGACGCGGAGGTAGAAACTGAGCGCCAAGTTGACGCGGACGTACGTGTTCCTGTTTTGTCATCACATGTGGATGACGGCCCTCAGCAGAACCTTCTCTCAGTTCAGGCGGGCGAGGGCGCACCGCTGTCAGGAGAAGCCGAATAAGCGGAAATAATTGGCAACACTTATTTTTATTGGGCGTGGCTTAATGACGTCACTTGCCGCTTGGAGTGAGGGAAGGATTGGAGAGGTGGGTCGTGCGAACGCGATCAGGGCTCTCTTGCGGCGACACCAGAGCTAGACGGACGTGCTGGAATTGCGTATTGTCAATATTTGTTGCTTGACTTGATTATTGTTAAGTGGGTGTTATTAAATTGTGTACAAGCATACATTCTCTTTTTTATAGTATTTCGAAATAGATTTATAACTGTATTTATATCAGTTGTCTAGTACCCATAGTACAAGGTCTGCTTAGTTTGGGATTAGATGGCTTTGTGTGAATGTGGTACAATATTATATTATTATTATTATTCCACTTCTAGAATATTGTGGAGCATTCTGAAATGATTGGAACTATTTCTGGAAAATGAGTTTAGTTGTACGTGACTTAACTCAGTGTGACCATAACAATATTATTTCCTCATTCCAGGACATTGTTAGAAAATTGTGACTGGCTAGAAGAGCAACTTGGGGATGTTGATGACGATTACATGCTGTTCGACTGCCCCGGTCAGATCGAGCTGTACACACATCTACCTGTGATGAGGAAACTTGTGGACCTGTTGCAGAAGTGGAACTTTAGAATATGTGTTGTGTTCATGGTGGACTCGCAGTTTATGATTGATGGTGCTAAGTTTCTATCTGGTGGGTGATTTCATTTATTTATTTGGAAACTTAACAGCTATGTTACATATATCATGGGTGAAGTTAAACATTTCAATGGACTCTTAGCCAATTATAAATATCTTTTTCGATTTGTCTCCAGCCTGAATGACACTATACCATTTTAAACCACAAGGCAAATATAAAGATTTTTTTTGTGTATGAAACCTAACACATAAAAAAAAGAGTAGTGTCTAAAAACACAGGTAAACTAGGGAAACTAGTTATACAATTAGTACAAAGTTCGGCCGTTAGACATGTAGAAGAATTCTTAAAATTCCTATTTTTATATTATTTTCTTACAATTTCAGGAACAATGGCGGCACTTAGTGTAATGGTGAACTTAGAACTGCCACATGTAAATATTCTAACAAAGATGGACCTGCTCAGTAAATCAGCGAGGAGGCAAATTGATGAGTGAGTTTTTTTATTGAGCTTCTAAAACTTTTTTTGTGGCATGAGGCATCTAAGTGACTCACCGCCGCTTTTGGACACCTGCAACTTAAGTCACAAGTGCATTACCACCTTTTGAGTCCTTCCCCCCAGAATTAGAGGGAAGGGAGGTTAAGACCTCTGGTAACCTCACATCACGCGACGAAACGATAGAATTGCCTTACTCCGGTATCCTGTAATGCCAAACTTCCAATAACTTTCTTCCATTTTTTGTTAGTTACAGCTTCTTCATAAGATTTTGGGTCTTGGTTAAAATTGGACAAAAGACAATATGCATTATACACCTCGAAAGTCTTGAAGGTATGATATGATGGCTGCTTTGTAGTTCTCTGCGGCCTGCTCGTCGCTGATTCAATATCTTTAGGAGACTTGTTGCTAGTTATTGGAAATGAATCGTCGTTTGTACTATTTTCTTCTGCCTGATTTGTTTCATCTTAATTCTAATCCAATTTGCTTTCTACTTCTTCTTCTTTTATTGTGTTATCACTAGGTCTATTTAGGTAGTACATTTTATTCCCGTTAAATACTACATCTCTTGATTGAACTATTCTTCTCTCTTCAGGTGACCACAACTTGTAACCACCGTTGCAATACCCAACCATGATTGCAGTTTAACTCTAGGATTGCAGTTTGTACACTAGGTACATTTGTAAACCAAGATTAACAGCTGAAAATCTTAAGTTTTGAAAGATCTTGTTATCCAAACCACAAGAGTGCCGGTGTTTGACCTCTTTTTAATGCTGCTGTTGGACTTCGATTAAGTTCATAAGCCGAACTTCTTATATCTTCACCCCATAGACTTTTTGGTACTCCAGCATCAATTAACTTAGTTCTGACTTAGTCACAGTAGTGAACGATTCGACAATGACCAAGCCTTCTGTGCCAAAGATTGTCATTTTCCATCCTTGTTGCAAAGCATTGTTCATTTGGAAGAATTCCAACATCTTAAAATATACAATACAAGGTTTGGGGAGGGGGCGTTTGGGGGACAAGTTGGCCAACGCACTTGTGCCTCCTGAGTTGTAGGTTTTAGGTGTCGATAGTTACTTACCATCAGGTGACCCGTCTGCTAGTTTGCTCCCTTGTACCATAACAAAAAATAATGTATCACACCGCGTCATCTGTATGCAACAAATTTAACAAGAAAAACATACAGTGGAAGATTAAACCTCCTCCTTTTTGAAGTCTGTTAAAAATAGGAAGTAAAATTGCCTAAAATTTTGCTGCATTTGACTTGAATTATTCCATTTTCAGTTACCTAGACCCTGACCCACACGTGCTCTTAGCCGATATGCGAAACGGCAAATCCAAATGGCACGAGAAATACGCTAAACTAACCGAGGCCATCGGTGAAGTTATCGAGAATTTCAGCCTAGTGCGGTTCTACCCTCTGAACATAAAGGACGAAGAAAGTGTGGAGAATATCATACTGACCATAGATAATATTATCCAATACGGAGAGGATGCTGACGTGAAAATCAAAGACTTTGATGAGCTGGATCCTGAGGATGGCAATGATAACTATGATTAAATGGTAATTTGTATTTTTGTGTTTCATTCTATTTATTTTTAAGGATTGGGGTTGTCTTCATATATGTAAAAATAAGTTTTAACATATAGTTTACAAAAATACGAGATAAGTATACCTAAGTTAAAAATAATTAAATATTAAAAAAAAACACTACTCATATTGGATTTGAAATTTGTCAGTGTATAGTATTCTACTAGTCAAGCCCTTTTATCTGATGATTGAGGGAGTTGTGAAAAAATATGTAATCCGCCATTTTGTGGTGGCGGCCATCTTGGACCGATTTTCATCACACATAGCTAAAAACACTCCCGACTAATTCCCCTTTCCATAAAAAAATAAACAAATTCGAAATCGGTTCATCAGGACAGTTTTTGCGTCGGGGGTAAATAATAAAAATTGAATTTTAAAAATATCGCTCACTCAGTTTCAAAGCCCAGAGTTATAGACCACCTCAGGTGACTCACATCAGATGACCCGCCTGTTTCTTTACGCTCGTAAAAAAAAGGTACTATATCACGGACAAATATGTAAAAAAAAAGCAGTCTTTTTCAGTCATAAGTATTTATTTGCAGGAAATTTGCGACAAGTGGCAATCATTAACATTATATTAATTTATACAACGAAAATAGTGGTTAACTTACAGCAAATTAATAGTTGCAAAACTGCATACTTATGAATTAAAACAGCACACACATTGGTGATATTATATTAAACTCTTGAACGCCGATGTCACGCAAATGTGACTTTTTTTCCTTAAAAAAAGTAATGATTTCGTGTTACGGTGATGTTTTGGCGCTCAAAATCTTAATATACCAAAAGGACGTCATACCCTTACAAGCCAATTATAAATGTGGGATATTAAGGAATTCTGTATTAAGTTCGTTTATACTTGAATGCAATGTACCTCTATAACCCGGCAATCTCGTGCGCGACCGTCCCGCGGGGTGACAGACAGTGGCGGGGGCGAGGTAGCGCGTCATTCTAGCACACGGCTACACACGAAGAGAAGCGTTTCCCTTCCCCGCTACACCACCCGCTACCCGCTGACATCTTCAGTACCTCGTCCCCGCCACCGTCTGTCACCCCGCAGGACGTTCGCGCACGACGTTGATGGACTATAGTTGTACATTTTTTTCTGTATTTACACATGTATATGGAAGATATACAGTGCATACTGTACATCTACCAGATACAATTAAACATTAGATTTTTTTATTTCAGACAGACGCAAGTAATAAACTTGCGTCTTTCTATATATATATATATATATATATAATATACACATACATCTCACACACCGCCGTCTGATCCCAAACTAGGCAGAGCCTATACTATGGTAACCAGACTGCTGATAAACATACTTATATATTTCTTAATACATACATATTATAGATGAATTACACCCAGACACAGAACAAACGATCATGCTCATAACACAAGTATTTGTCCTGGGTGGGAATCGAACCCACCAATCCTAAACCTAAATTAATTAATAACCGGCCCAAGACTAATATAATCCATTTCCAGTTGTTTATTAATAATTATTGTAAATATCATTTACATAACATTATGTATAATTTAACACTAAATATTGTATACTCACTAACTATATAGCTTACTATAACTGGCAGTGGGGGAGTACATTAACACAATATTTTGAAGGGCATTGCACTTCCAAAATTGGCAACACCCAAGTGTAATCGTAATTAGCGACTTTAGAACTACGTAGTAACTATTAATTCTGCATCGCGCAATAAAGGTTGTTGTATGCATTTATTAAACATCATAACAAGGTTCGTCAGACTAGATCACCGGGTCTTATCGTAGAATCCTATCTTGTAGTGGAGGGCTATTTCACTCCGCCAGATTATTACATAAATATGGTTCAGCCTCTGAACCTACTCTAAAACATGTAGGTGGCTCGTCTCAGTTCCCATAACTTCAACCGATAAACTTGGGATTTCTTGTTTTATATTTCGATATTATGGCACTTATATTAGAAAACTACAAAGAAATTTAACAAGAATGATAAGGTAAAATATTATGATCAGCGTAAACAGCTTTTTGAGTACGAAAAACTATTAAAGTGCCTGAATCTGACGTTACCGTGAATTATAAAATAAAATTGCATTATTCTAAAGTAAAAAAAAACCGTACACAGAAGTGCAATGCCTGCTTCATAAATCCAATACATAATTGCCTAAATATGTACAATTATCATGCAATTACCTACTCTGCCGTGTAACAAATTGAGTTTAAAGTTATCTAGCGTATAAGACTAATTCGATGTCGCGAGTATACAATTTTACAGGGTGCTACAGATGTGTGGTCATATTTTTTGGGTTGCGTATTAGTCGAAGTGAATCAGCGATAAGCATTTCAGGAGAATTAACGGTTTTGAACTCAGATATCTTATATCAAAATTGGGAGTTAACCAATATGATTAATGTTATGTAAGGTTTGCCCTCTCGGCTCTTGTTAATTAAATTTTGGGCATTTAATACCTAATATTGAATTATATTGATGAAGTCTGTTTTCATCTGATTTCAATTCCGTCTGAATTTAAAACAAAACCATTGAAACTCACATGAAAATCCATAATATGTTGTTTACAAATGTGCACCTAGAGCAAAAATAATAATTCTCCCAAAAATGTTATCTTTTTATTTTAACTATTTTTTGGCACACCCGTATAATAGATCTTTAAGCTGAAAATCTTATGTAATTTTTCCAATTCTGAAATCATATTCAATTCAAAACTCCGAAATAAACAAATTTTAAAATTTGAGTTAGGCAACATTGTTAAAAACAAAATCTTATTGTATTTTTACAATACATAGACAATGAAGTGTACACAGTTAACAATATTTAACCCTTTATCTCGCACTATTCATGGTTTTTTTTTGACAAAACAAATACACCTAGTAATTACCTTCAGAATAAAATTTATTTCACTTTGAATTCGGTTTCAACAAAACACAATTATTTAAAAAGGTTTTTATAATTTCATCAACGCACACGTAACATATTGTATGTGCAACACCGGCAAATACATCTGTGCCAACTTATTGGTTTAAATAATTCACCCTTCATTACATTTATTTGCATATTGTCCAACAATATGTGGCTACTTAAAATTAAATTTAACATAAGACAAACCATTATAACCTATATAAACAGTTCCAATATAATGCAACATGTTTATTGTATATATATTTTAGTTTATTTATTTGAACTAAACAGACATTATATATATTTAGTGTGTATAAATGATACACAGGACGTAAGAGAACCACAGGACTGATATGTGCCGGGCTATCATTCAACCTCTGATCACAGACTACCCACAAATTTCTTTAATAAATAAAATTTAACTAACATCATATGTTTCCAAATTTCGTTCTTGTAGTTTTTGTTAATTAATTCAAAGTTATTTTTAACCCAAGAGAACAGTACCTCTTTCTGAATAAAAGGTATCTTATATTCTTCTTCGTACTTCCGATGATGTGGATACAAAAATGTAATGATCACCGGTCGAGCAGTGAAAGCTTAATGGGTGTAATAAACAAGGGAACAAACAAATATTCGCGTTTATAATGTTGATATGTTGTGTAGCTTGAAGGCTTTTTTGCATCTTCTGATATTATTTGGAATTTTAACATTTTTATTGATTATTTTTTAGGGTTCCGTAATCCTAATCGACGTTGCTCAATATTGGTCGAAAACTAACCAATTTGCCATCGACACGAAGAAGAACTACCTTTATAGTATCTCCATGGCCGTCTTAGATTGGCTTAGAGACTGTTAATACCAGAAACCTGTTATTTTGCATCGCCTTGACAGAGGTCAAATAAAATCTTGAAAAATATGTTAGAGTACCTCTCCTACACTGGAGGATGGTTTTTTTCATAGGATTTTGTCTAAGACAGTGTTAAGACTGCTTTTCGAACTCGTGATATGATTCTCCTTCTCAGTCGCATTCTTCAATTAATGAAGATATTTTCTTATTTGATACTCCACTCTAGACTTCTCTACTAAGTTCTTCCACTCTCTTCAGCTTGCCGGCTAGCGGTTGTTATTAGGAGAACCTAATGAATTCGATTTGATCTGACCAGCGGTGAGGAGCTCTCCCGTGTTCTTTTCCTTCTACCTACTCCCTTAAATCGGCTTTGCCAGGTTTTCTGGACACTTACTATATGCAGAATTCTCTGGTATCATGTGGACGAAAGCCTGGTTGTGATTCTAAGTTGACCAAGAATGGCCTTGTTAGTTCTTTTAGCTGTCAATGGAATTCTCAATATTTAGCGCTAACACAACATTTCAAAGATCAAGTAATGACTAAAAATCAGTATATGACTTGTCAGTGAACTGCCGCTTTCCGTATAAATCAAAACTCAATATTATTTTAGTTAATATCTTTAAAATAACTTACGATTCACCGAAATTAATATTCGATGTTCAAAATGCAACAATGCGATGTTTCTTATATTTCAGTAATCTGTGATGAGATTAACAGCTAGCCTGCTAGCTTAACAGGGTATTGTGACAGAGCCCGTATCATTTATTTCCACCTTGCTAGAGCAATACAATGGTCATATAACATGTTTGAACTAGTTTACTTATTAATAACAATTATATTTGAGGATAATTTTATTTAAAGATGTAGTCATTTGTTTACAGTAATCTAAAGTCTAAAAAACAAAACATGCTTAATAACACGGATTCTTATTGGACACTGCAGTGGTAAAATATGGCGTAATTTAAATTATTTAAAGCATAATAATAAGGTGGAAGAAATGTTTTACGATCTCGATTTTAATAAGTAATTATTTTGATACATTTACTTGGTTATCTGATTTCAAACCAGGTAGAGTTACTGATATGGTTACTATACTTCTGATATTTACATAATAATAAATGCATATAATAGACACAGAATAAATGCAATTCAATTAATATTCAGGGGCCGAGGATAGTGAGGCCATACGAAATAGGGGAGAGTTACCAATATTGAACAGGCGCTTAAATTGGATCATTTCTGTATTTTTACCAAAATGGCATTATTTTTTTACACTAGCAACATAAAGAGGAGCGCTAGCAGCGCCACTAATACTCCGCCATTTCGCCTTTTAATGCTAACTTACTATACCAAATAGTGCTATTTTGGTAGAAATACAGAAGTGATTCAATTTAGGCGCCGGTTCAATATTGGTTACTCTCCCATATAAATTATTGTTTATAAGATTTGGTAGTGTTTTGAAGTGAGAGGTGTGAGTTATTAATTAATAGTGGGGTTTAAAAGAACAGAAACGGTTAGAGTAACACTAGGCATTTAAGATGGTAATTAATAATAAAACAAAGTGATATTTTAAAAAGAAATTTATGTCAATTTCAATCCAGATCGATTGAAATATATTGTATATACCCTTATTATATTTTATTTTTTGTATGAGTTCACGTGTTTAGTTTTGAATATGGAAAAATTAGACTATTCAAAACCGTGTGTACCGTATTAAATCCTAAAGCGAGTCTACACCTTTTTATAACACGTGTATCGGTCGACACACGAAAACGATAAGTGACCATCGTGATTGGAGACGTAAAGCCAGGGTTAAACGGCAGCGGCGTCGGTGGTTAGGTCGGGCGCGGGGTCGATGGCGTCGGTGATGCTGAACACGAACATCTGGCAGCCGAACTGCAGCAGCGCGCCGTGCGGCACCAGCGCCGAGCCCTCCCACGCGCCCGCGCCCCCCGCCCCGACACCCGCCCCCGCACCCACGCGGCACCCGCAGCGCCGCTCGCCCGCCAGCGGCGCCGTCAGGTTACCGCTTATTCTGACACATAGAATTTATTATTTTAAATATTGTTTCAAATCTTTAGTAAAACAGTAATTCGTAAGCGATAAATAGTTTTTTTTTAAACTCTGCCATTATTAATATATCTGGAATGAAACGGTCACAAAAATACCCAAACTCAGAACTACAATTTATGGATCACACAAAGTGTCGTCCCATGTGGGGATCGGACCCACAACACTCGACGTAGTGATAAGCGACGTGACCAACGCTTAAACCAGTTCGTCATCCGTGCGATCAATTATTTTTAAGCAAAACCTTTAGAACGGCGCAAACAAGTCTGTTAGCTAATAAAGCGATATAGTCCAGAAGCCACCGATCCTGAAAGCTCCGTGATCACGGATTCTTAAAGTTTGTAAGTACGCATACCAAGATAATTATAAATGTGACATTAAAACGCGTGAATTAAAAAAAAAGGTTGCCGTGATAATGGATAAATTTTACCTCTTATCACACCATTCAAATAGGTATGCGTGACTTTTCCAGCTAAAAATCATCGGTCGGCTGGATTTTTTCTTGCTGAACATAATATTTCACACAAAATTCTATATAAGATTGATCAAAATCCGTGATGACGGAAACAAAATATGGAAATTTAAAAATAAATAATTCAATAAAAATATTTCCGGCCAATCAAATCCACGCCGACCGAGCAAATCTCGCTCGTCTAAACGTTAACTTTTATTTTTAATTAAAAATATTAAAATCCGTGATCACGGAGCTTTCAGGATCGGTGGCTCCTCGCCTAATATGAAAGAGCGTCACGGCGGGAGAGTCACCTGAAGGGTTGTGTGTCGCGGCGCCGGACGGCGTCCCTCAGCGCGGCGCCCACGCCCTCGGCGCCGGGGGGCGAGGGGGGCGAGGGGCGGCGCAGCTCGCACGCGAACATCACGCCGTTCACGCAACTGCCGAACTCCGAGTAGTTGATCAACTCGAAGTGTCGGCTCACCTGCCGACCGAACGTTTATTCTCATAATTTATTTAATTATGACGCACAATACAACTATTTTTACATGTTTTGTACTTCATACAATAGTGTAGCCATTCGTTGTTAAAAACATGTATAATAATAAATAATACCTATTACATTAACAATTTTAACAACCTTACTCATCCCGCCTGCATCACGACAGCCGGACCGACAGACACACTCATATACTTCCAAACACACACACCGCAGACGAACAACTCCCAAACACAGCACCTACTAAACCGCTCATCACACAACTACTCATCCCATGCAGAAATCGAAACCCCGACCCCCGGCCCACCATATCGACAGACCTGTCTTATTTCAAGTTCATATTATGGTAAATAAAATTCAACGCTACTCTTGTGAATTCACTCAGAGCACAACAGAATATGTCCATCTCGTTAGCTATAAGATTTAAAGTGTGAAGTACGCACGTCAGTGGCGCCTGGCTTAAGAGAGTGGTAGGGGCGCGCGGCACCGCCAGCAACCTCGGTTGTCGCCGTCGCCACATATACCTGTCCGGCACATAAAGATACCCCTGCCCTAATATATCAGCATTACTAACTTTTCCCCTAATTATTACCCTATATTATAATTATGTATTAGTAGTAGTGTAGTATATAGGAGATTATTTCTAGTCCAATCCACTACCCTGTCTATGTCCCTTTTCAACCTTGCACAGTCATCCACGCTTTTTACAGTAAAAGAGAGCTTAAGATCATCAGCAAACAGAAAGCACTTGACGTCTTGAACTACATTTGTCAGGTCATTTATCATAACTAACATCGATGAAACTCAATCCTCCATTACTTAATACAATGGTAGTAAAAGTGTACAACTTTTTTACACGATTAGAATTGAATTACGAGTATAGTCGGAAGACTATACTCGTAATTCAATTCTAGAATAGAATTCTAGAGTAGAATTGAATTACTAATTACTGAAATTCAATTCTAGAGTAGAATTGAATTACGAGTATAGTCGGAAGACTATACTCGTAATTCAATTCTAATCACCACATAATAAGAATGCCGTTAACTGGACACATGGAAATTAAAAATATAAATATATTCTGAACGATTAAAATCAGGATCGCATACCTAAAACTGATAACGACCGGAAAGAGAATCAAAGAACCTATTTGGACCATATGGTATAATAGACCAAAACCTCTTTTCTAAGGAGAGGCCTATGTCCAGCAATAGACTATTAACTCTTAGGACGTCACGGCGCGCGGATAATCTATGACCCGTTACTGTCGCGCCCTTGAACTAGTGACCCAGTCACAGCTGAGCGAAGTCATTATTACCTCAATATCTATGTTATTTTATAATTATATTCAATGAAATGAACATATTTGGAATCCCTGATATATATTCTTCTAAATGTTCGCGTAAAAATTTGGTGTCACAACTGTTGAGACGGCGACGCGTCGGAGGTTAAAGGCTGTTGATCATAACTTAGTTTTTCTAATACTACTTTCCAAAGTCATTGGTGCCTGTTTGGTGATTACATTTCCAAAGAAATGCGACCCTAATATCATGTCAAGAGTTACACGTTAGAAAGAAAGTCAACTTCAAGGCAAAAAAAATAGTCGAATTGAGAACCACCTCCTTTTTTTGAAGGTCGGTTAAAAACATGTGTACAGCACGTGATAAGTACTATGCAACGTAAATTGAACTTTATTGCATCGAACCAAAGAGTCGCAATTTTGTTCTATTACATACCTGTTAAAACTACCTAATAGAAAACATCTATATAACAGTTTTTTGCAATAAAAGTCTTTGTCTAACCGTAGTGGTGACTCCAAATGCGGTACCACTACGTAGAACAGCTAAGGTGTGTACTCACATCATCCATGAATATAACAGCATGATTTCTGGAGACGCGCTGACACGCGGCGGGGTCCAGCCGCACGTCGCAGCCGCTGTCAGTGCCGATGGTGAGCGAAGAGAGCCGCATTGGAATCGGACGTCCCAGCCCATCACCTACTGCGTTCCTATTCAATTTGTATTAAGAATCGGTTATTATTGTAATACTCAAATGTAATAATATTGACAATTGTGTTGTGTATTTATTGTCCGTGTGGTGACGGATTAAGAATACAGAGTGTCACCACCCCTATTCATCCCGTGGGTGTCGTAAGAGCCGACTAAGGGAGGAAACTACGCAGGACAATAGCACTGAAGAGAGAAGGAAAACTTGACTTTTTTTTTACGTGTGGAAACCCCCTCGGGCTGTCACCCAACGGGGTTTGCGACGGGGTGGTGTGCCGGAATCGGACCGACTAAAACAACTCGGTGTGCCACTCTGCGCCTGTAATAGGAGAGATCCAGGAACAGCTGTTATTAAGACATCCGGACCCCTCCTAGCGCCTGCCCGCAATGACGCGGGCACCAACTTCGGGTACATTCTCCATTTACGCGACATCCGGACCACTGCAATCGCAGTGGTGACAGGCGGGACTCCCTCCTAGCGACCGAGTGCAGGAACTTCCCGAAGCAGCCGAGCCCGGAAAGGACCTGCGTCAGCTGAAAGGAAAGGGTCCCGTGCTGCCGCCCTGCCCACTCGACGATGACCGGCTGGAGCGACTCACGCGTGGGGCGGGCGTGGTGATCGAGTGGCCGGGCGAGGCGAGGCGGGCGGTGAAGGGTACGGGACTCACGTGTGGGGCGGCGCGATGGCGCAGAGCGTGGCGCGCACGGCGGCGGCGCTGAGCGAGTGGCCGGGCGAGGCGAGGCGGGCGGTGAAGGGTACGGGACTCACGTGTGGGGCGGCGCGATGGCGCAGAGCGTGGCGCGCACGGCGGCGGCGCTGAGCGAGTGGCCGGGCGAGGCGAGGCGGGCGGTGAAGGGTACGGGACTCACGTGTGGGGCGGCGCGATGGCGCAGAGCGTGGCGCGCACGGCGGCGGCGCTGAGCGAGTGGCCGGGCGAGGCGAGGCGGGCGGTGAAGGGTACGGGACTCACGTGTGGGGCGGCGCGATGGCGCAGAGCGTGGCGCGCACGGCGGCGGCGCTGAGCGAGTGGCCGGGCGAGGCGAGGCGGGCGGTGAAGGGTACGGGACTCACGTGTGGGGCGGCGCGATGGCGCAGAGCGTGGCGCGCACGGCGGCGGCGCTGAGCGAGTGGCCGGGCGAGGCGAGGCGGGCGGTGAAGGGTACGGGACTCACGTGTGGGGCGGCGCGATGGCGCAGAGCGTGGCGCGCACGGCGGCGGCGCTGAGCGAGTGGCCGGGCGAGGCGAGGCGGGCGGTGAAGGGTACGGGACTCACGTGTGGGGCGGCGCGATGGCGCAGAGCGTGGCGCGCACGGCGGCGGCGCTGAGCGAGTGGCCGGGCGAGGCGAGGCGGGCGGTGAAGGGTACGGGACTCACGTGTGGGGCGGCGCGATGGCGCAGAGCGTGGCGCGCACGGCGGCGGCGCTGAGCGAGTGGCCGGGCGAGGCGAGGCGGGCGGTGAAGGGTACGGGACTCACGTGTGGGGCGGCGCGATGGCGCAGAGCGTGGCGCGCACGGCGGCGGCGCTGAGCGAGTGGCCGGGCGAGGCGAGGCGGGCGGTGAAGGGTACGGGACTCACGTGTGGGGCGGCGCGATGGCGCAGAGCGTGGCGCGCACGGCGGCGGCGCTGAGCGAGTGGCCGGGCGAGGCGAGGCGGGCGGTGAAGGGTACGGGACTCACGTGTGGGGCGGCGCGATGGCGCAGAGCGTGGCGCGCACGGCGGCGGCGCTGAGCGAGTGGCCGGGCGAGGCGAGGCGGGCGGTGAAGGGTACGGGACTCACGTGTGGGGCGGCGCGATGGCGCAGAGCGTGGCGCGCACGGCGGCGGCGCTGAGCGAGTGGCCGGGCGAGGCGAGGCGGGCGGTGAAGGGTACGGGACTCACGTGTGGGGCGGCGCGATGGCGCAGAGCGTGGCGCGCACGGCGGCGGCGCTGAGCGAGTGGCCGGGCGAGGCGAGGCGGGCGGTGAAGGGTACGGGACTCACGTGTGGGGCGGCGCGATGGCGCAGAGCGTGGCGCGCACGGCGGCGGCGCTGAGCGAGTGGCCGGGCGAGGCGAGGCGGGCGGTGAAGGGTACGGGACTCACGTGTGGGGCGGCGCGATGGCGCAGAGCGTGGCGCGCACGGCGGCGGCGCTGAGCGAGTGGCCGGGCGAGGCGAGGCGGGCGGTGAAGGGTACGGGACTCACGTGTGGGGCGGCGCGATGGCGCAGAGCGTGGCGCGCACGGCGGCGGCGCTGAGCGAGTGGCCGGGCGAGGCGAGGCGGGCGGTGAAGGGTACGGGACTCACGTGTGGGGCGGCGCGATGGCGCAGAGCGTGGCGCGCACGGCGGCGGCGCTGAGCGAGTGGCCGGGCGAGGCGAGGCGGGCGGTGAAGGGTACGGGACTCACGTGTGGGGCGGCGCGATGGCGCAGAGCGTGGCGCGCACGGCGGCGGCGCTGAGCGAGTGGCCGGGCGAGGCGAGGCGGGCGGTGAAGGGTACGGGACTCACGTGTGGGGCGGCGCGATGGCGCAGAGCGTGGCGCGCACGGCGGCGGCGCTGAGCGAGTGGCCGGGCGAGGCGAGGCGGGCGGTGAAGGGTACGGGACTCACGTGTGGGGCGGCGCGATGGCGCAGAGCGTGGCGCGCACGGCGGCGGCGCTGAGCGAGTGGCCGGGCGAGGCGAGGCGGGCGGTGAAGGGTACGGGACTCACGTGTGGGGCGGCGCGATGGCGCAGAGCGTGGCGCGCACGGCGGCGGCGCTGAGCGAGTGGCCGGGCGAGGCGAGGCGGGCGGTGAAGGGTACGGGACTCACGTGTGGGGCGGCGCGATGGCGCAGAGCGTGGCGCGCACGGCGGCGGCGCTGAGCGAGTGGCCGGGCGAGGCGAGGCGGGCGGTGAAGGGTACGGGACTCACGTGTGGGGCGGCGCGATGGCGCAGAGCGTGGCGCGCACGGCGGCGGCGCTGAGCGAGTGGCCGGGCGAGGCGAGGCGGGCGGTGAAGGGTACGGGACTCACGTGTGGGGCGGCGCGATGGCGCAGAGCGTGGCGCGCACGGCGGCGGCGCTGAGCGAGTGGCCGGGCGAGGCGAGGCGGGCGGTGAAGGGTACGGGACTCACGTGTGGGGCGGCGCGATGGCGCAGAGCGTGGCGCGCACGGCGGCGGCGCTGAGCGAGTGGCCGGGCGAGGCGAGGCGGGCGGTGAAGGGTACGGGACTCACGTGTGGGGCGGCGCGATGGCGCAGAGCGTGGCGCGCACGGCGGCGGCGCTGAGCGAGTGGCCGGGCGAGGCGGGCGCGCGGGGCTCGGGCGGCGGCGCGGCGCCCCACACGGCGGCGGCGATGCGCGCGCGGTCGGCGCGCGACAGCAGCTCGGAGGGCAGCGCGCGCCGCAGCACGCCCAGGCGCGCCAGGCGCGCGCGGTCCACGCCGCGCCGCACCAGCGCCAGCGCGCCCGCGCCCAGCTGCGCGTGCCGCCACGACCCGCACGCCTGCTCGCCGCTCAGCACCTGCGGAACGTACGGACCGTATTCAAAACCAAAAACTCAACTCGACCCTGGATCGAAAGCGATCATAGAGACCCTCATAAAAAACACGATCGTTACGTTGCCATCGCATAACGCGTGTTCGACTTAAAACGCTCGACGAAAGTAAATAATCAGAAAAAATACAAGAAGTTTTCGAATGTACTTTCAGACGACTCTTTTAAAAACTGTAAATACCGTATAAAATACATCATGCGTAATCCCAAAATAAATATCAAAATATTAAGTAAACGAACTTTAACTTTTCAATTAGAAAAATATCATCAGTAAATTAACGATAGCAAAAATCAACAAGACTAGGAATATACTGATAGGCATTGCATTTTAAACTAACAAGAACATGGGAAACGTCTGACTAGTTAAACATCAAATTAACAAAAACAATAGACTTCAAATCGGTTAACGTACGAAATGATTACAACGGACCAGGGAAAAAGAAAAATGAAAGCCCTTGTTTTTGAGAAAACGACGATTTGCAGTTTTATTTTAACAATCCTCTCTTGAAATCAATAACCAAAAAAAGTGTATATCCCCAACTCATAACTGAAGTTTACCAATTAAAAACGATTCGACGAAAACGAACGAAAAACGTAGTAACGAAGTCATTCGATCACTAAATTTTACTCTTCATTTTTTTTTCATACCGGCTACCGACTTTCAGGAGTAAACTCCAAAAAGTGCAACACAAGAGCCAATTCCATTGTTCTTTAGACGTAGGAAATGTAACATAAGAATTGCTTAGCATTGGTATTCTGCGGGACCTTGATTTCGTTCAGTTGGAATCACCCCATATGAGCCGAAGCAACCCTCTTCTACAACAGGTCCCTCCTTCCTGATCAAGAGATCCGCAGTGCCTGATAAGATGGTCCATTAAGTTTTCGATCAACCAAAATTAAGTTTTAGACCTAGTTGGTTTAGATGTTCCTATTCCATGGGTATTCATAGTACATAATACAAGTCTGATGAAATTTTGCAACGTCTTATGTAACAAATTACGTCTCGTATTTGATAAAAAATGGCAAAAGAACAAAGGGACTGCACAAACATACCTGTTGTAACCTCTGCCACGCCAACAGCTTAATTAATCTTTCATCCAATTTCTTCAACTGTTCATCTACTACGGCTAGCAACTCCTCCACGTTTTCTTCCGGCTTCAACTCTAGCCGCTCACTCTTGCCTCTCTTACTTGGACTCTTTTCTTCACTGTGTGACACCTTGCGTCTCTTCACAGAAGCTGTGAGGTATTCGAAGTCCGAGTCTGACAAGTCGCTTGAGGAGTCTGTGTGCCGCTCGGGCTGTAGAACACATTTATTTATCATTAATAAACAATTCAGTGACATCGACAGATACACACTTAGTACGAATCCACTTTACACCAGATTCCTCTAGTATCTAATATGTTTTATGTTATAAATATATTGAAGCATCGCGGGACGTCTGGCAAATGTTAAACATCGAAATTATTCAGAAGAAATAATGAGTATAAAAAGATAATATAAAAAGATAATATAAAAAGATAATATAAAAAGATAATGAGTAGAAAAGAAGAAGAGTTTCTGATAAGCAATAATAAATAAATCTTCACACCAACAGTCGCCTTAAATGTTTCACATCAATAATCATGTTTTGGGAAATATTATATAACAAAACTACATAACATATTTATACATGAAATAATTCAAAGCATCCTGACAACTGCAAAACGTTGTTACTGACTCATACAAATATTTACACAGAGCGGATATCAACCCGTGACTAGTTGATGCACTCGAATTCAAGTCAAAGAGCAATTCAGCAAAATGAGTACAATTCTTACATACCATTTTAATGTTAGGTTCAGAGCTGATGGCGTGCAGATCATCTGCAGCATCTTCTTCCGTCGCCGGTTGCAATTTGTCACCCTCACACTTATCTGACTTATATTGTGGACACTCCGCATGTGGGCCTTCTGTACTATACTGTGGACAGTCCAGGTTCAAGCAGATCTTGTGTTTTTGTCGAGTCTGTTCTTCTTCTGAGGAGTCGTAGCACCCTGTCTGTTTTCGATTTTTTTGAACTGAAAGAAATAGATTCCTCTAGATCTATCACTTGTTGAAAGAAATTGTGTTCTACATTTTAACTCTAGTTTAATTGTTAGTTTATTAAAGAGTACTCTGTGTTACACATATTTACTAATAAGTGTCAAAGTATTTAATGAAATGCGAGTTAATATCCGTGTGGTGACGGATTACGAGGGGTGATCAATAAGTAATGATAATCGAGTATTTCTAGAACGCACAAAAACCCAAATTATTTTTTTTCTGCTTGCTTATATATCCACTACTTCAGCTTCAGAAAAAGGTATAAATAGGACACCATTACCGGGAGATACATTCATTTGAATACGAACTGTCGAAGAGAAAACATCAAAATGGAGAAAAATGAAATAAGAGCTGTCATCAAGTACCTCTGCCTGAAAAAAATGTCTACCAAAGACATACACAGCGACTTAGAGGAAACATTGGCGGAGTCTGCTCCTCCATATTCCACAGTCGCACGCTGGGTAAAGGAATTTAAGCTAGGCAGAACCTCCACTGAAGATGAACATCGCGAGGGACGCCCTTCCACGTCCCTTACTGGAGAAAACGTCAAAAAAGTGAAAGATATCGTGTTGACCGATCGAAGGGTGACCGTAAGGCATGTAGCTGAGGTCACAGGGATCTCCTATGGCAGCGTTCAAAAGATCATTGTCAACAAAATGCATATGAAAAAGGTCTCTGCGCGTTGGGTACCGAGAATGTTAACCGACGAGCAAAAAAAGAAACGAGTCGACATTTCGAGGGTGAATCTTCAAAAGTTCCAGGCCGATAAAGAATTTTTTTTGTCGCGTTTTGTGACCATTGACGAGACCTGGATCCACCACTTTGATCCCGAAACCAAACAACAATCAATGACTTGGAAACGAGCTTCCTCACCAACGCCGAAGAAATTCAAAGTGTCAAGTTCAGCGGGAAAGGTTATGGCGTCTGTTTTCTGGGATGCAGAAGGAATTATTATGGTGGAATATTTGGAAAAGGGGGCCACTATAACAGGCTCTTACTACGCAGGCCAAATAAGAAGATTGCGAGAAGCTATTAAGTCAAAAAGACGCGGTAAACTGCGCGCTGGAGTGCTGTTTCACCAAGACAACGCCCCGGCTCACAAAGCCGCAGTTGCGATGGCTGCCATTGAAGAAACGGGGTTCGAACTGCTCGAACACCCTCCCTATTCGCCAGATCTAGCTCCCAGTGACTTCTACCTCTTTCCTCGGCTCAAAGAACACCTCCGGGGCAACAAATTTGAGGACAAAAGTGAAGTGATGGCCGCAGTAGAGGCATTTTGGGAGGGTCAAGACAAAGAATTTTTTTCTAAGGGAATCATGGGCTTAGAAAAAAGATACACTAAATGTATTAACTTGCAAGGAGACTATGTTGAAAAATAAAATACTTTTTTTAATCTAATAGTTCTGTTTCATATTGATTATCATTACTTATTGATCACCCCTCGTAAGAGTATGGAATGTCACCACCCCCATTCATTCCGTGGGTGTCGTAAGAACCGACTAAGGGAACAAACTGCACAAGACAACAGCACTGCGAAAAGAAGGAAAGCTTGAAATAAACCCTATACCAACCCATCTGGCCAGCGTGGTATAGTAGGCCAAAACCTCCTTTCTAAGGAGAGGTATATGTCCTGCAGTGAACTATTAAAGGCTGTTGATGTGATGATGATGATGATGATGTGAGTTAGTTTATTATGCAGTCACGCCTTCATACTTAACCAATCATAAGATATAAACACTGATAAAATCTACATCAACGCCAGCGAAAATGACGGCAAAAGCTACATCTATTATTGAGGACAAAAAAACAACATTTCATGTTTCATTCCTAGTGGTCTTTCCTATCTCACGAGAGCACCACCAAGTCCTCTTCGAGACACTCTTTCTCAGTCTGGTTTCCCCACAGACTTGTGGGATCCCTTTCTATAGCTCGTTTGTCCTATCTGTTTCCTTACCCCATTATGTCTTGTGTTGATCAGAACGAGGACCAATTCGATTAACTTGAGAGACTTTAGAACTTCTGTATAAGATTCATCTTTTGCTTGCGCAAATATGATCATATTTCCGAATTTCGTAAAAAACTCAAGTGGTTCCCAATTCGGCTGTAAATACTCACATACTCGCCTTACTATATAATAATAATAATAATAATATTGTACCACATTCACACAACCCCATCTAGTCCCAAACTAAGCAGAGCTTGTACTATGGGTACTAGACAACTGATATAAATACATATATACTTTTTTCTTTTGTAAATACATACATATTATACATAGAAACACCCAGACCAAATCAAACATTAAATGTTCATGCACACAAATGTTTGACTTGAGCGGGAATCGAACCCGCGACCTTTGGAATAGCAGTCCGTTACACAAACCACTACGCCATTCGGTCGTCCAATAATATTTTAATTGATATATTTTATTAAATCCTGCAACTCCTATCTACTTAAAGAAACGATTCTTATTTATCCATGACACACATACACGATACTTGAGATCATCGGAAAATCTTACACTAGAAATCCCAACACACTCCACAACTTTTACTGATACATCTTTTTCAGTGCAAGCAGCACGCCTATGGAATTCCTTACCGGAAGCTATAAGGCGGGCACGGTCAGTGAGTACTTTTAAGTGACTCGTCAAGGATCACTATTGTGTTATTTAGGTATCTAATGTATGTATGTATGTATGTATATGTATAATAGCTGACCCGGCAAACGTTGTTTTGCCATATACCTTATTTCTAGGAAATATTGAAAAAAAAATTTAGGGGTGAGTCACCCTTTAGGGGTATGAAAAATAGATGTTGGCCGATTCTCAGACCTACCCGATGTGCACACAAAATTTCATAAAAATCGGTCCAGCCGTTTCGGAGGAGTATGGTAACTAACATTGTGACACGAGAATGTCATATATAAGATTTATATAAATGTATGTATGTGTATGAATATGTATTTGTATAAATGTATATTATGCGCACCACAAACTACATAATACTATACAGTTTAGTCCATCCAAAGGTTGCCTGTAAGAGATCGCAGACTGCGATAAGACCGCCCATTGTACCACTGTTTTTATTTTATGTTTATATTCTGCATTGTATATCCATGGTGTAATAAGAAGTACCTTAAGTGTAAAAGAATTCAGCCACAACTCTTAGTAATGTTACACATTGTGGCAACTACAAATATAAATGGAAAAAGTGTGGGATGATGACATTTTGACGATGAAATTTTTAATAATAATAATAACATCTGACACACAGCTGTCTGATCCCAAACTAGGCAGAGCCTGTGCTATGGTAACCAGACTGCTGATAAATATACTTATATATTTCTAAATAGATACATATTATAGATAAATTACACCCAGACACAGAACAAACGATCATGATCATCACACAAATATTTGTTCTGGGTGGGAATCGAACCAACGACCTCCGGTTTAGCAGTCAAGGTCACTAACCACTAGACCAACAGGCCTGCAAAATTCTATACCATTCTCATCATCAACAGCCTCTAATAGTCCACTGCTGGACATATGCCTCTCTTTAGAAATGAGGTTTTGTCCCACTACACAACGCTGGCCAGACGGGTTGGTATAGGGTTCATTTCAAGTTTTCCTTCTCTTTGCAGTGCTGTTGTCCTGCGTGGTTTGCTCCCTTAGGCGACACTTACGATACCTTCGGGATGAACAGGGTTTGTGATACTCCGTATGCTCAATTCGTCACCACACGGATTGAATTCTATATATTGTATATAATACTAGCAACCCGCCCCGGCTTCCCACGGGTAATAGTGTATATTGTGCCTACATGTATGTTCTATCGAAGAATCGCATCAGCTTGTTGCGCTGAATATGTGTGTGTGTGTGTGTGTCATCGGCATGAGACCCGCGCTTGAATTATTATCGTTGAAGGCTTCCAGGCGGCTTGACTTGTGCCGACATTTTCCACAACTATCAATATTAAACAAATTTACACAAAAGCTTTACAAATTGAAGACCTTCCTCATGAATCACTGTGAGATAACCGAGTTTAATGTGTTCAGTCGTTTTTGAGTTAATAGCGAAAAGACAGGACAGACAGACGCGGGGGAGGACTTTGTTTTATAATTTCTCTGGCACCTTTCATACCGGTGTAATAAAGTAAAACTGTATGAAAGTCGTTTAAAACATTGTAATCTCCACAGTTTGTTCGATCGTAGGCAGTTATTGGATCAGATTTTGCTTTACAAATTAGTTAATGGTGACTTAAACTGCCCTATTCTTGTTGAGAAAATTAATGTAAATGCTCCCTCAAGGTTTCTCCGTTCTCCTTTCTTAATTAAAACTTCTAAAACCAACTTGGGTCAGAACGCTACTATGAATAGATTACTAAGCCAGTATAACAAGCTGACGAAAAATCGTGAAATTGATGAAGACATCCTCGTAAACAGTCTATCAAAATTTAAAAGCAAAGTTATTGCGTCATTTAGACCTTCTTAGACCACTTTAAATGCATCACTGTCTCTAATGAATTTCGATGATGTTCTGTATGTTTTATATATTATTATAGATATTGTTTTGTATAATCTTAGATGAAACTGTCCCTTACCATGCTGTGGCAACTTGTAAGTAAGACAACACTCAGCACATATTTGTAAACTCTGTATTAGTGTATTTTTTGTAAGTTATCCTAAAAAAATTCGTAGTGGTATATGTATAATAGGTAATGTTGATTATTTTAAGGTCTTATATTCAAAAGCAAGCCAACCTTCCTGGCAATGTATATGTACTATGAAAACTGTTTTTGAAGACTGTACTAGTCAATATGAATAATACACACAAAGCTTTTGGCCTATCTGAGTAAATCTATTAGGCCATACTGACCTCTGGTACAGCGCACGTACTCCCTGCGACTGGGCATCAGTGGTGGTGGGTGTTGGTAGTGGTGGCGAACCATCTCTGGCACTATCACGCGACCGCGGACACCCACTGGTACCTTGATTCTAGAAATCATAGAAAGGGATTATTATAAGAATATAAGCCTAATTATAATTACATAAACTTAAGAAGATGTTGTACCATATAGACTTGGAGTTCTAGTGTAACGCTTTAATTTTGAAATTAAATAGATGGCTTACAGACCGGTTACTGAATATCCAGCCAACTCAGTACAAGCTCTACTTAGTTTGAAACTAGATGGTGTTGTGTTTGAGATCCAAACATATTATTAAACTTAAGTACTATTAGCCCCTTATCATTTCTCAAGGACAAAAATCTTTATGAAAGGCCTTTATTTAAAGGAGTAGGTAGTAGGTGTGAATCAACGTAAATTTATATGTTAACCCAGAAATTGTTTTTTTTTAAAGATATTACTTTATTTATATACTAGGGTTTTTACAGACATTACAAAGTATTAAATGTAAAGCAAAAATGATGTACAAAGGGCGATGTTATCACTTAAAGCAATTACTCCCAGTCAAGCTTTGGATGTACTGGAATCATTTTTAACTGGTATTAGACATATAAAGGAAGATAAATAAGGATATAGAGAAGACAAACTTGACACAAACCCTATACCAACCCATTTGGCCAGCGTAGTATAGTAGGCCAAAACCTCCTTTTTAAGGAGCGGCCTATGTCCAACAGTGGACTATTTTAGGCTGTTGCTACTGCTGCTGCTGCTAGATATATACAAGTACAAACAATAAATAAGGTCTTAAACTATAAAATATTTACTTATCTGATTTGTATTAGGAAAATAAGACTAAGAGACTAATAGTGAATGTAAGGGCACTGACCGGAAGGCGGGCCTGGCGGTCCGGGCGCGGCGAATGAAGTCGATCTTAATGGCGTGCTGGTCCACGGGCCCAGAGAACTTGTCCCACAGCGCCACGCGCTCCGTAGCCGAGATCGAGTTCACCAGCTTCCAGTCCTGAGGAGAGTGCAACATAATGTAGTCGAGCACAAACCACTACTTGTGGTTTAAGCGGTCGCCACGCCACCCCACATGGGACGACACTGTGTGATCCACAAATTGTTGTTCTGAATCTGGGTGTTCTTTGTGTCCGTTTCATGTATGTTTGTAAAGCACCCCGCGACACATAAATGTATTCCTTATGCGGGTGTTGTCTTTTTTTATACAACGGGGACGCTATTTTAAATCCTTTATTAAATAGAATTGTCATTATTCAGTTAATCTAGAGATAATAGGGTAGCTGCCTATACTTATTATAACTTGCTTAACAGTCTTCATGCAGATACGAATGATATAAAACTGAGCAGATTACACAGGCCAACAAAATTTGTCAAAGTTTCTGTCCTAGAAACTAGAGTAATCTTTCCCAAAGGATTTTGGTGCGCTGAATCCAAATCCGGCCGCTGAATTGCTCTATCACGTCAGGTTTTTAAGATATTCTAACCTAAAAGTGCAAAAAACGCCATTAATGCCAATTTCTGAGGTAATGTAACTCTTCAAATTTTATTATGACTAAAAAAGTACACAGGGTATCTTAAAGTTCAAGTCTTCAGCTTTCAAATGACGTTGAGTTTGCTTAAATATCTTTTTTTCGCCTCAAAACCAAACTATCAAATACTGCCCACCCCGAGTTCAGCTAAGCAAACCTTTAACTGAACTACAAGGCTTTAAACTAAGCAAACCCTGTTCACTACTATCTCAGCGAAAAAAAAAAGATATTTGAGCAAACTCAACGTCATTTGAAAGCTGAAGACTTGAACTTTAAGATACCCTGTGTACTTTTTTAGGCATAATAAAATTTGAAGAGTTACATTACATCCAAAATAGTTTTTTGCACTTTTAGGTAAGAATATCTCAAAAACCTGACGTGATAGAGCAATTCTGCGGCCGGATTTGGATTCAGCGCACCAAAATCCTTTGGGCAAGAATACTCTAGTTTCTGGGATAGAAACTTTGACAAATTTTGTTGGCTTGTGTAATCTGCTCAGTTTTATATCATTTGTAACTTCATGAAGACTGTTAAGCAAGTTATAATAAGTAATTTGACTTTGAAAATACCCACAAATCTTTCCACAAATATTTTTTACGTATAGAAAGTCTTGTCATGAATCTACGCGTTCTCTATGTGGGTGTTTGTATATTTTTAAAGTCCCCGTGACGCGTTAGTCATCTTCAAATTTACAAAGCAAAACCTATGGTATTGGTTGTGGGCGCCGGTTTCTGCCTGTAGACTCAAGAGTGGTCCTTTATGCGTTGGGGACAGCTAAGTGAGCCAACCAAGCTCCTTCCAGAAGCGCAGAAGCTTCCTAGGAGATCACAGGCTAATAGGAGCGATTTTGTATCAGGGATGATACTTGCCCATTGTGTGACCACTCCCTCGCATTTCAGGATTACGTGGACGTATATTTCTTATATTAGACCGTTTCTTCTGCTTTCAGACATCCTCTGCTAAGAGGACTGTCTGTCGCATTTATGGTGAATAGTTGTAGGTTCAGGGCTAGGTGTCCTGTTATACTTCCTACAACTATTCGGATTTCTAGTCTACTAAGACTGATCAATCTGCAGGTTATTCATGGTGTGACTTCAGTCAGTTTGGACTGTCTGCAGCCGGGTGAGTTTTTCCACCTCCAAAAAAAAAAACCTATGGTATTTATAATCAAACAATTTTCTAATGCCTATGTCTTTATTAGTTTGTTATGAAGCAATTAAGTTATCAATATAACTCTTGGACACTAAAGCTATTATTGATATAGTACTTACAATGTATTGCTCTACATGATTCGGACACATCCAACGTCCAGTTGGTAAAGCAGTTAGCGGGGGATCCAGGCAATCCTAAAACATGAAATAGCCACATTATAGCCAATTGAATATTTATGAATGAAACGGAACATCATTTTTAAAAAAAAGTTTAAATAAAAGCCAACAGTCTCAGTGAAAGAATAAATGTCAATATTTATTGCATGTCAACATTCTAAAAGGTTCCATCACAAAACAGTCCTTCTGGTTAGGTTATATCTAATGCACCGTAATAGCTAACTATTACAGTGCATTAGACATAACCTAACCTAACCAAGAAATAACATAATATTAAAAATTAAAAGAGGCCATCTTAGTAGTGAACATATAAAGTAAACTTAATGCTGCAGATTAGCACAGGTTCTATCTCATATTACTTATAAATAATTATTATCAGAAAATTTATTCAAACTATGATATTAATAATAACAACAATTGAAAATTATTAAATGACATGTGTAATACCTGATGGAACAGCAGTGGGCAGTAGTCACACTGCAGCAGCGGCGCCAGCTTGCAGGTGCCCTGGCACACGTAGCACGCCTTCGCGGGCAGCGGCACGCAGCCCCACGCGTCCACCGTCACCAGGGAGCCGTTGCCATTCTTACCGTGCTCTGGAAACAAATCAAATACAAATATACTACAGGTGACTCCAAATGAACATTATCTAAGTAATTTGCTTTTGACCCCAACGTTGTAAACATAACGTGTCTGTAAGTGGCAAAATATCTCCTATATAGTGACTTATTAAGTGTACACAGATACGTAACAATGTTTAATCTCTATAAGCTAAGTCAATGTAAAGGTAATCTTTGCGGAGATGGTGTGGTTTGAGTACTTAATATTCTGACCAAATCAAAATATGCACTTTGACCCAAGTTGCGAAGAAAAATCTATGTCAACCATAGATTTACTACTGATGGGGTTCAAAGACAATTCAATTTTGCTAGGGTGAGTCCCTAGCGACATTTTAGGTATTGCATTAGTCCATGTTCATCATCCCAATTTACAAGTGTAACAGCAATGGAAAAGTGCTGTGAATTGCTAAAATTCTTACCTTTATCAGTGCCAGGAAATAGACATGGTATGCGCATTTCCCTTGGTAACTCAAATTGCCTGGGATTCATAATCTTGGCTGCCTTCACCAGGATCTCCATGGGGCTTAGTTCTTTTTCTTTCTCTTTTTCTTCAGGTTCCTTCTTAATTTCATCTTCCTCATCTTTGCTTCTCTTTTTGGTCGAATTCGATCGATTGTTACGCAGTGATCTGTATAATAAAATTGAAGTGTGATTGGTGTCTAAATATTTTTTTTATGGTTAAAGGGGGCAGACGAGCAGGCGGGTCACCTGATGGAATGTGACTTTTGTCGCTCATGAACGTCTGAAACTCAGAAGTATTCCTTATAGTATGTACCGTTGTAGTATTGTGGGTTCAAACTAGTGATGTGCCGGATATCTGTATCCGTATCCGTATCCGCGGCTTTTTTGGCGATCTTTCAATACATATTACATAGATGAAATTCATATCATTGGGAGAGGCCTATGTCCAGCAGTGGACAAGCATAGGCTGAGAAGAAGAAGAAGAAGATGAAATTCTATATAGATGATTTTGTATTCACTGTTAAACTCTTAGGTATGTGTTTGTAACACTATAAACAGCAACTTTTTTTCTGGCCAACGTGAAAATGAAAAAAAATTGGCCCTCCATTCAAATGACCAATCAAATGTTGTTAGTTTGGATGGAGAAACAATTTTTTTTTTTGTTTTCGGTGTTAGTCCAGAAGAAAAGTTGTTGTTTATAATGTTACTAATATGCACTTCAGAGGTTTTCAGTACATTTAAATTTAACCCTGAATAATGGTTATTAGGTAGCTATGAAAAACTATTGAATTCTGTTCAGATTACTTTTTATTTCTTAAAACAAATATTTGGCACCTTTGTATTGCAATCATTTATCGTACTACACTAAATCAACTAGGCAGGTCGTAGGTACTGAAAGAGCTATCTTTATAATGAGATCAATCAAACATCTTTGTATTAGCTTATTAAAATAATGAAATATTTAAATATCAACGGCAAAGCGTCAAGTGGCGACAACTATCAAGGTCACGGGCTCCGATTGAGTAAGAAACTTAAGATCCGTATCCGTATCCGCGGATCTTGACACCAAATATCCGTATTCGGATCCGTATCCGCGGATATACTTTGATAACGATCCGGCACATCACTAGTTCAAACCTATCCATCCATGAGTCAACTCAACTACTTAGACCAGCAACAAGGTATGAAAGAGAGCCTCCTGCCCTCGACGTCTAATCTTGTGTCAGTAATTTGTAAGTAATCTTGTGTTTGATTTATGTGAAACTCCTGGGCCTCAATTCTGCTATTTTATGTTAACGCCCCTCCGTGTGGTGACGGATTAAGATTAGTGTCACCACCCCTATTCATCCTGTGGGTGTCCTGAGAACCAACTAACAAACAAAAGAGAAGGAAAACTTGAAACAAACCCTATACCAACCCGTCTGACCAGCGTGGTATAGTAAAATCTGTGGATGATGTTAACACCAAACCAGTGTCATTCCACTGACAGGCTATTGAGATGCCATTGACATCAGTCAAAATATCAGTATTCTACTAACATAAATTCACAGTGTCAATAGACTGTCGATATATTAATATAGGTCATCAATGGTGATTTCAACAACATTGATACCTGGAAAATTAGATATATCATTTCCTAACAAATTTAAATGTACTGTTTACCAAACTGTTACAAAGACATTGACGACATTTGTACCATAGACAAGTCAGCGGGAGGCCATTAAGACCAATGGATTCATAGTTAGTAGAATAGAAAAAGTGCAAAACTTTTCCAATGACTTTCCATCAACAGTCTATTGATACAATATTAAAATATCAGAATTAAGGCCCTGAATGAGCATACTGGTTACCAAGCAAGCCAGCCGGTACTACACAGACATAGCCGGCAAGAGTGGGATGCCTCTCTCCTTCATACCAGCATTGCTCCTCCTAGTCTGACTTGATTCACTATTGGTATTTATTACACATATGGTTATACTATGTATTTATTTTAGTTATAGTAGGCCAAAACTTTCTACCTAAAGAGAGGCCTATCTCTAGCAGCACAGCATATTAAGGGCTGTTGAGAACTATATACATGGGCAAATTAGTGAGAGACTACATTGGTAATACTATAATTAATTTGAAAATAGTCTGTAAACCATGTTTATAGACATTTCAAGTCAGAATATGGCTATGCATGCTTTTTAGCATTCCTTTTTTATTTTAGTCCAAAGAACTTACATATCTAAGTTACATATATTTAGATATTGGGAGTAAAGAAAAGCTGTCATAGTTGGCAAGAAGTTTACCTTCAAAAACCACCATAAAACCTTTGCGAAAATCGGTGTAGATAACTATGATGATATTTAATTATGTAAACAAGATTTTATGCACATAAATAACTATGAAAACCTCGTTTATAATTCCATTCATCTGTCTATTCATAGACTTATCCATTAATTCATCTACTAATTAGCATAATTGTTAAAATATTGAAATACACATTACTTTTTGCATTACCTAGTTTTTTTCTCAGTGTCAGACTTGCTGTCCGCAGGTGATTGTGCCCGGCTGCTGCGTGAACTTGATGGTTTATTCTCATCTGATCCCAAACACTCCTTACACAACCACAAGCCAGCTGGTATATCATTCTCATCTAGTGGTGGATCACTGAAAATATGATTAATATTTTTAAATTAGACGGCCGGATGTTTGATTTCATCTAGGTGTTTCTATGTATAATATGTATGCATTTACAAAAAAAAGTTTGTAGTAAGATACAATACGACTTACTATGTAAATACTATTATCTGACTGGCCTGTTGGTTAGTGACCCTGACTGCTATGCCAGAGGTTGTGGGTTTGATTCCCACCCAGGATAAATAATTGTGTAATGCGCATGATTGCTTGTTCTATGTCTGGGTGTAATTTATCTTTAATATGTATGTATTTAGAAATATCTAAGTATGTTTATCAGCAGTCTGATTACCATAGTACAGGCTCTGCCTAGTTTGGGATCAGACGGCCGTGTGTGAGATGTGTAAAAATATTATTGTATCTAATCATTGTTTCAGGGTTTGTGTCAAGGTTTCCTACTCTTTGAAGACCAGCATAGTTAATAGTTTGGGTTGGATTTTAAAACGAGTCGCCTGAATTTGAGGGTATTGGTGGTGTAGGGGGCTTAAGGGAGTTAGTCTTAATCCCCCCACAGTAATTTTGGCTGCCGGAGTTGCGTCTAAATATTTTTAAACAATTTCCGAAAATTCTTAAATACTCTTGCAATTATGCAAAACGGAACGTAATTTTTTTGCTTTAGTATAGTTTTTCAAATGTAATTTTTAGGTTTTATGTGAAAAACGTGAAACGAAACGCATCTTGGATGGATGATATTGACAGCTAATGTCAAATTTGTGCGTCATTCCTTTGCTTTCGAGTATTATTATACTCGAATAGTGAATGTGTTCTTCCGTATCGATTTGTGTTTTTTCTACGACTTGGCTAAAATTTTGAAAGGTGCCTGGGCCGGGTCACCATATGTGACTGGTATAATTATTGCCGAGAAACCATTGTGGCATACCAAATTGACAAAAAAGAAGTAGTTGGAAAGATTGGTGGCCCCGGAAAAATAGTCCAGATCGATAAATCTATATTCGGTAAAAGAAAATACAATCGAGGTAATTATATTTTATATATTATTTCTTACAGGAAATGTATAAGAACAGGACATAATTCTTAGGTAATTAATAGCAATCTATTACTCCGAGTTGGCACAATCAGACTTCATTGGGTTAGGTTCGATGGCTAAGGCGGGAGCGCAGCGCAGCGAAGCTCCCGCCTTAGCCATCGTGGTTATTTTTTTTTAAACCACCCAGAAATAGGAGCCCCGCGTAGCGGGGCTCCGTCGACTCATAATTCAAGCCAGTTTTTATATATATATATTTATTTTTGTTATAGGTCGCCATATTGATGGCCATTGGGTTCTCGGTATGATTGAGGATGGATCTGAAGATCTGAGGTTGGAAGTGTGCCCAGACAATATTCGCTCCGCTGAGGTTTTGGTGCTACTTATATTGAAGAATGTGGAAGTTGGCACCACCATCCACACTGATTTTTGGAGAGCATATGATTGCTTGCCAGAACATGGCTACATACACAAAAAAAGTCAACCACTCGGATCGTGACAACCCATTCATAGCTGAAGATGGGACTCATACTCAACGAATTGAGTCCCAGTGGAGGGCTGTTAAAATTTTTTAGGAAGGACAATTTTAATAACACAGAAAATTTTGCAGATGTTATTTTTGAATATTTGTGGCGCGAAATAACGTAAAATACAGGAAAGATCCATTCATGGAATTAATAAAAGCGATAAAACATGTTTATAAAGTGGAATAAAAATTTTTGTACAAATTTCTGTTTTTATTTTTTCTAAGGGAACCAAGTATTTCCGGCGGGTGAAAATGGTGAGGGGGGGATCCGGCCCCTTTCCCCCCCCTCCCCCAACCACTCACAACCCCTTATAATGGCGACGTATTTCGAAATTTTTACCAATAGTTTTCATTAAAAATAAAAGGAGTGAAATAAAATTTAGAAGTTATTGTACTAGCATTATGATACAATTTAACCTATTAATATTAAATATTGACGTAGGATAAGAATTTACCAGCTTTTTAAAGGCTTTAAATAGTTTCTACTCTCTAACCGTTGGGTACATAATTATTGCATGTACTTTTTACTCTTCTTTAATGTTTGAAATACCCAGCATATTACTTACTAGCATCCAAGATGGAAACTGGCGGGGCAACGATCACAGCATATTAAATCACCGCCTTCCCCACACGCATCGCAAGAATCATGATTATGACCTTTGCCAGGCCTTTTGTAATAAGGGTGTTGGGGCTTCTTAGGCTTCTGAGAGTTCCCTTCCTCGTCTGGCGGCTTTATTAGTGCGTGTATTAGCTGAAATACATCCCAATAACATCATAAGTAATGCCAATTTAGCATCAAGGCTACTTTTTACAAACTAGCTAAAATGGCGCCATGTAACAATATGAGGAGGTTCATGCTTGCAATAAATCATTAAACAATCAACAAACCGGCATAAGACCGCCTGATGTATCGAGGTCATACCCGATGTTAGACATTATAATAACTCAAAATATCTTCCAGTGTTAATAAATCAACAACAAAGTTTCAAAATATTTAGTGGAATTAACTATCTACTTATAACGATCGTTTTATGGCTTGATAAAACACACAATGATCAGTTTAAGGATTGCAATCAAAGAATAATTATATAGACTTAATAAAAGAGGTATAATCAACAGCTTATTGAAGTAAAAATTGGCTAAATTCAACAAAAGTACAATTTATAGAACAGAAACACCGACAACTAGCTATACAAATATGGCCGCCACATTTGTTTCCAATCCTAACAGTTAGGTAAGTTTAGCATAAACTTCAAATTTGGCCTCGGAACCCCGGTGTAACGGAAGAGATAGAGGTAAAGTTTAAGGTCTAAATGCTAGTTTTATACACTGGAACGCGGCCCAAAGCGTGCGTTTTAACCATAAACATACACTAGTCCAATTTGACAAATGACACTAGTGTTTCATTACATTATGGTAGTCATAGGTAAATATAATGTTGAATATTTATGATATTTTATTTATATGTACTACTATTTATTTCTATTTGACGAGAACTTTATTATGCCAGAGTTGGTAAAAATAAAGAGCAAAACAAGTGGTTAGAAAAATTAATACATCATCTATTTTTATTTGAATTTTTATGACCATTATGTTATGACCGTAGGCTTGATACTACATAATAAATATAAATGTCATATTTCTGTTTAAATAAACAACTGTTGGTATACTCGTAGGTACACACTTTTCTACTTCGCATTCAATCACTATTACTATATTATAATTAAAGTAACTAAAGAGGATGGTACCTAACACTGTTTCCTTTAAAACACCTACCTACGAAAAGAAAATAAGATACCACTATAAGCACAACAGTTCTTCCACAAAAGAATTGTGGGATTCTGGTCGCAATCTTTACGAGTTTTTTTTTAAAGTTTTAAATGATCCTGTGATAATTTTTTACCAATTATAATAATAACCATCCAAACGATCCACGATAGCAAAAATATTACTCTCATCCGATAGCTAAGCCAAAGTGCAGATGAAAAAGCAAGAGCCACTGAACTTTCGTCTTATGATATGATCATCATATCAATGAATTGGCTCGAAATCGATGTACATAAACATCCTTTATAAGTAAAATACCCTCTGCAGTAAATCAAGGAATTTACGACTTTAAAGCTTTTCTTTTTTTTATGTTAGAGGGGGCAGACGAGCAGACGGGTCACCTGATGGAAAGTGACCATCGCCACCCATGAACGCCTGCAACTCAGGAGTCTCAAACGCGTTGCCGGCCTTTTAGGAAGGAGTACGCTCTTTTCTTGAAGGTCGTATCGGTCCGGTACCGCAGACGATAACCCGTTCCACAGATTGGTTGTGCGCACAGTAGTAGAGAGCCAACTATCCAGGTAATAAGGATGATACAGTGATCGTGATGATATATGGAACGATGGCGGAAATTTGCGGCTGGTATTAGTCCGAACAATTCCTCGGAGCACTCTCAATGATATATGTGATAGAGAATGCAGAGTGAAGCTACATCTCTACGTAACGCCAACGAATCAAGCCGGTTGCAAATCTTTTGGCTATCGACGATTCGAGTCGCTCTTCATTCTTATTCTATCATCATAATCATTATCCTGCCTTTAATAGATCACTGCTGAACATAACCCATAGGCCTCTCCTTAGAAATGAGGTTTTAACCTACTATAGAATAGGATAGGATACCAATAGGATTTGTTTCAAGTTTTCCTTCTCTTTGAAGTGCTGTTGTAATGTAGAGTTAGCTCCCTTAGTCGGCTCTCACGGCACCCACGGGTTGCATAGAGGTGGTGACACTGCGTCTCCTTAATCTGCAATCACACGAACAATGAATAATCTATCTCTAACACCTTTTCTATGAATGATCTAAATCAATATATGCATTCATACACATACACGACCATATATGTATACATATGCAAGGTACATATTTATATACACATAAATTATGAACATGGATACGCAGTAAACTCGTACAGTTCTGCATTCGTTTTTAGCATATTCTGCCAACTCTTTGTGGAGGAGACCACGAACTTTATTTTTAAATAAGAAAAGATAGGAATCATAATTAACATAGAACGGAGAGTTGATGTAGTCCGCAGTGTGAGAATAAGAGAAATAGATTTTTGTTGATCGAAGATTTGTCATAGTTTTAGTAGATGAACCGATGTTGTAAGCTATATGCGTGAAGGTTGAGATTGAGAGCTGGGCAAAGAGAAATGGGTAGTCAGATATTAGTGATTTTTGCTTAAAAAAAGGGACAAAGACAAACGACTATGCCAATAAAAGTAATGCAGATTAAGCATTATGAAATCACGGAATCACCAACTGTCATATTTGCAAACTACCACTACTACCATTAAAAAATATAATTTTAGTAAGTAATTTAATTCTTCAAAAAAAAAAGAAAATACTATGAATTATGAAAAGCAAAACGACTTCATTTCACCAACTACTTTTTCTATCATTGTTCGAAATTCCGATTAACACAATGGATAATTTTATATTGTTCAACCGGTTTGGTTTTAAAATTATTTTTATATATTTGACGGGCCTGTTGGTCGAGTGGTTAGTGCCCCTGACTGCTAAGCCGGAGGTCGTGGGTTCGATTCCCACCCAGGACAAATATTGTGTGATTGGTATTTCTGTGTCTGGGTGTAATTTATCTATAATATGTATGTATTTAAAAATATGTAAGTATGTTTATCAGCGGTCTGGTCACCATAGCACAGGCTCTGCCTAGTTTGGGATCAGACAGCCGTGTGTGAAATGTGTGAGGTATATTATTATTATATTATTATTATTATATTAATCCCATAATCGGTGAGGTACACGATAATTTTTTTTTTAATATTTCGTACACTGAACTGAAAATTTTCTGTATGGATAGATTTCGTAGCAGCAAAATGATATTCTTATTTCTTGCTGTTACAAAATCGATGTGTAAACTTTTTTAAGAGACTATTAGAAGTAAATATCTTTATGCATATGGCAATAACCATTCAACGGAAGTTGCCATGTCTGTGACGTCATGGGCGGAGTTTAGTTGAAGATCGAATTCGGATTCGGTTGGCGGGCGCGGCCATCTTGGTGAATTAGTGACCTGGCGATTCGGTTTTAGTTAGTGAAAAATCATTTGTCATCCAGAATGTCGGAAAGGGAAGATAATGTGTATAAAGCTAAGTTAGCCGAGCAGGCTGAGCGCTATGATGGTAAGTACTTATTTTTGTTCTATCTTCTATATTAGGATGAATATTCTATCGTATTTTCGCCGACAGTTGAAAGACGATTTTGTGATAGTTGAAAAAATGACAAGATTCTATCATTTGATAAGCCTTTGTTATCTAAGTTTTCGCGGAGAAATTGCTAAAATGTATTCAACTAATTTCCTATATCACCGTAGTAACAAATCAATGGCATTCGTTAGGCTTGGTCAGCGATCGATGCGTCATCCGCCGGTGGGATGTCCTTTAAATTTTTACGCTGATAAAAACTCAAAAATGCTATCTAAGACCTCACCAAACCTACAGGGGGACACTATATCTCATTTTTCGAAGTTGATGAGTATGGTCAACTTATGTTTCAAATCAATACTTGTAGATGTTCGAGAAAAAGAGTCCCTATCTTCTCCGTCCCGGAGAAGTAAAACGCGATCGATGACATTGGATTCGGTCATGCATATCGTATCTTGGATAAATCTTTCAGTTAGATGTGGTGGAATGTTCTGGGCTTATTAGACGAAGTGATTTTATGTCGCCTCCGATTTCACCTATTGTTCACGATTTTGTTACACGGGAACCCGTGTGCTCTGTATTTTATTTCAAACGACTTTTTTGTTAACGCGGTCATTGTTAACGTTATCAATGTTGGTTTCATTTAGCCTTAATGATTTAATTTACATCGAAGGCGTACAGTTCAATGACCTTTATTAAAATTATCATTAAAAAACTACTTCTGATATCATATCCGTAGAGGCCACTGATTTCTATATGGTTATGTGACCTCATTTTTACCTGATATTATCCTGGAATAAGAAAAAGAGCATTTCAGTTCCCATACATCCTTCATGTCACTTTGAAAATGACTATTAAATGTGACATGGGCTGTCATGATCATGTGCAAGTCATTGATGCTTCAAATTGTCAAATTTATAAATTATTGTGGATATTATACATAAAAACTACTCTATGTATAACAGAAATGATACATTATTACTTAAGTATAACTTATTTGAACTTAATGGGAAAGGTTAAAAGGCCACACCCTTTTTAAGTTATAACATGAAAACAATTTTAAAATGAATGGAAAATACAAAGAGACATTCCTAGGTAGCTTGGCATCTATTTAAACTATGAATGATATTTTACCAATCGCTAAAAAAATATCGACAAGCCCAACAGAATTATTTCATAAATGTAAAAAGCTTTTAGTTGTGGATAGGCATTATTTTAACTAGTATTAATGGAATTTTTATTATATAGCTTATTAAAATAAAAAAAATACTTTGTAAGTTTTTCAAATCGTCACATCAGATGAAATATATTTAGCCTTTATAGAGTTACATCTTAAATAGTACTAAAATTTGTTAATAATTAGTTACAAAATAACTTAAACCTTTGTACCTTTTTTAAGAAAATACACCAAAATGTGTAATAGCTTGCATTAAGTTCATTTATATAAGTAAAAAGTGTATAATTTTTGAACTAATTATTAGCAGCAGAAGCTGAATGTATCTTAATTAGTTGACTGCACCATACATATACACACATACACACTATAGTTAAAACAATTAACAGTAATCTTCTGCACCAAAAATAACAGACCCAATTATACTAACAATTTCACAGAGGTTTTATGTAGTTGCAACAACACACTTGGTTTAATTACTACTTTCTAATACAAAAATGGCTCTGTTTGAAATTAATAAGCTCTCAGTACCGTTATAATAAATGTATTATATTTCTTACCATCATACACTATTCATGAATTATATAGTCTAATGTTATAACTATTTTAATAAACTGGATTGACTTGCCCATAAATGGTATAATTTTCACATTTTGATAGACCTTCAGCTTCATTTAGTTCATCATTCAACAAAAATATCGCAATTTATTTCATTCTATACTATCCTAATAAACTCAATTTGACAATCAATGCCTTCTAATAAAATTGTCACTCTATAAAGCGTAATAAATCGTAATTTTTCTCCCTGTAGCAAAAAAAGGTTGTATTTTTATAGTATTAAAGGAATTAAATCAATATAACGAAATAAGTGTATCGTCCTAAACAGGGGTGCGTAAGTAATGGACGGGGCGCATCTGGCGCTTGTTGTTCCTAAGATGGCGTCTACCCAACCTCAAACATATCCCTAAATAATTTCATAACCCGAGACCCCGCCTTTTTGTTTTACGATCACTCAGTGACGCACGAATTATTCAGTGGAACCTAGTGCCTACATATTTTAGTACTTTTTGCATGTCCAGACCAAAGTAAAGATCTATATAATTTTGTTACCGAATCCTGTGGTCCATATTTTATTTCGGCACGCGCTCGCCGTGAATTGCGAGTTGCCTACCTGTTACTTCAACAAGGTATCTATAGCGAGACAATATCTTAATCGCTCTAGTGGGTAGGTAATTTTGAGCATATCGTCGTAGTGACACATAAGAAAATAACTCTTCCTTTAAATAGAATAAGGAATTTTTTTCAATGAACACCTCTGTTTAAATAATCCCGTTTTTATAATCGTAGTACAACACAAACTGTGGTCCTTCAGTTGAAAACTTTCTACAGGTTTGTAGTAGTTCCGTTTTCCGTTGCTCTTCGGTTGCAATTGCATTCGTCATCATTATATTTGCAACAATTGAGTTCCAGGGAGAAAATTAAATGTCAAAATTTATGTACACGATAAAACATTAGTTTGGCCCGTAACTCCGTCTGTGCGACGCCCACCGCTCCCTCGCCCCCCACTAGCGCAGACTAAGTCCTCATCGATAAAAGAGTAATTTTTATCTAACTTGTTCAACTACATTCCGAGATAGCGAAAAGTTTTCATGTAGAATGGACACTAGTATTAAGGTTCATTGTTGTCAGGCTCTTGTCATCAACTTTTCTAACTTGAAACTAATAAGTATGATATAACCGGTATAGCTTTATTCGTTCTTTAATCGATTCTCCTATGACTAACCTTTGCCAACCTTAACCGATCTTTTGCATTTAATGAGGACGGGTTGAAAACGTTCTATAATGATTGACCTTTTGCAGTACTGCCTTGTGTATATACAGCTTATAGTGAAATGTTATGTACATACCATATAACGATTGGTTTCTAAAAGCCTTTGGCTATAAAACCTAATGAAACAAACATGAAAATCGAATACTTTTATCGTAACAGCCACAACTTATTCAGTTCATTTATTTGCTGTTTTTTTGATTTCTATTTCCAAGTGTTGTGAGTATCATATTTCTAATCATTTAGGGTAGGTACTAAGGCTTAAAACATTATGATTTGTTTTGTTTATTGTCCGTAAATTACTAATGCCTCACCCAATAGATATACGTATATTAAATCACACTTGAATAAGAATACGTGTGAATGTCTAATGAAGGTCATCTCACCCCCTGCACACCGGGACATTGTCGAGATTGAGACCAATCGATAACATGTTCACGTCATTTAATTACAGAGATGGTGGAGGCGATGAAAAACGTAGCCTCACGCAACGTGTCCGACAATGAACTAACAGTCGAGGAGAGGAACCTTCTGTCTGTTGCCTACAAAAATGTGATAGGCGCCCGCCGTGCCTCGTGGCGGATCATATCCTCCATCGAACAGAAGGAAGAAACCAAAGTAAGTAAACCATTTTTTAATATACGTGATACCTTTTAGCGCGTGAGCGGAATCGTAAAGAACTTATTACGGCAAAACTATCATATTCTATGACTGCGTATTTTTATTACAGAGTTTTACTTTTATTCTAATAGGTCCTCCACGAAATGATAATTTAATAGAAAATCTCATTAGACGAAAGGTGGAGACACTTAACTTTGCTGTAGACTTTATGACAGCCATTTATATCGGATATATAATTTATCTTTTGGAACGGTTTGTATGAGATTTACTTGATATAACTCGACGAGTGTTTTCTACATTGGCTTGAGCGTGACCGTACCTATAGTATGAAATCTTTTCAATACACACTTTATAGTGGTTCTTTTCTCACATTTATGTCAATAAACGGTCATTTTCTAGCAGCCGTTTGCTTATAACGGATGTATAAAATGCGGTAACAACGGTAATCATCTTTTTACTGCAAAAAGTAATTATAATATGGTACGTGTACGGTACACATTGAGATGGACAAAATGAATCACTAAAATAACGTCTTTGACCAATGAGAACAGTTTGTTAAGTGCAGAACAATTGAAATGATAGAATAGCTTTTGTAGATATTTAAGCGTCTGTGCTTTTTTATCTGTAGAAGGATAACAAGATAAGTTTTTTACAATTTCTTCTTATCCTAATACTCGGGGTTTTTATGGTCCGTTTACTGTCCGTGTGGTGACGGGTTAAGAATACGGAATGTCATCACCCCTATTCATCCCGTGGGTGTCGTAAGATCTGACTAAGGGAACAAACTACGCAGACAACAGCACTGCAAAAAGAAACAACAGCACTGCAAACTTGAAGCAAACCCTTTACCAACCCGTCTGGCCAGCGTGGTTTAGTAGGTCAAACCCTCCTTTCCAGCAGTGGACTAGTAAAGACTGTTGATGATGATGATTATTAACTCGAGTTTTTTATGGTATAGGGGGCAAACGAGCTGATGGGTCACCTGATGGTAAGTGACCACCGCCGCTCAGACACGTGCAACTCACGATTCACATGTGCCTTTTGGTTCCCTCCTACAGAAGTAGGCCCCATAACCTTACTTACTCTGTGAAAAGTAACGAAAAAACCGCTCTACAGGGGTTTTCTGTGAGAGGCCGTAGTATCACACCGGTCGAGCTGGCCCGTTTTTGACGAAACTGCTTTCACGCGGCTAAAATCAATGCCGGCCTTAGCTAGCTAGGTAGTTAAAAAGTGAGCAGAAAGCTATTAGTAACCCCGTCACCTAGTTCCTGTATAAATAATTGCATTCATATACGAAGCATTCTTCGATGACGTAATTTACGACCGACTTATGTAATTAAAAAGGTTCAATGACCATGATAATTCTCTTAGTAGTCGTCGTATTTGAGTTGAACAAAATTATCCTGCACCTATAATAAGAAAATATAACCGCAGACACAATAGGGTCGTGGCTGTGTCATAAAAGAATTTGGTTCAGAAACAAAATGTTTTTAAGTTGCTTGTTGAATTTACTTACACAAAAGAAACGTTTATTGCTTAAGTATATCGGATAAAGTCACCGGCAACGGCTTTTGATAAATAGTTAACTAAGGCCGGCATTGATTGCTTTGAGAAACCAGTCCAAGGTTGAAGCAACGTAGAACCCGCGAAAGAGGTTACAAGTTAATGGCCTTGTCTAATAAACAGTGGAGCAGACAACCCTGGCTGTATATGCGTCATTTACCTTGTTAATTTCCTCGTCACCTCACTTCCTTTAAATTCACGTGTTCCCTTTGCCATTCATTCGTGAATAGTACACCGTGAACATTCTTAAGAAAGCGTATTTGGTCAACAGCTTTTGACCTAAATATTTTTATGATATTATTCATGGAATTAGTACGATAGTTAAATTTTTCGGGCAAAATGCTGTCTGAAAAGCCTACTGAAACATCCTTCACTGCAACAGAAGGTTAAGATCAGTGCTACCTGCATTCTGCGCAGCACACGACCCAAACTATAGATTCCGATTTAGTTTATGAGATCGTAAAACGGTCGCTGGCAAAAGGTCGACCAACTAACATGACGAGACGTCGCTGTGAACACGCCACATAAACAGCTGTGTGAAAATTAAGTCAATACCGTAAATATAATGCAAATTAGTTCATTATATTTAAATTAAACTTTAAATTAAAGCACTAAGAAATATTCTTGGACTGAAAAATGTTACTTTTCATCGCTCCACTTAGCTTGAAATGAATATCTGTGAATTATTTTTCTTAGAATAACACGAAAATTACTATTTATTTAAGGAAGGAACGCAACTGCTAAATGACAGGTCGTGCCCAACATTTAGCATGTGCCCTGAAGCAACGGTTGGCTTATACGCTAGTCTTTATTATCCATACTTATATTATAAACTCGAGTCTGTCTGTCTGTTATCTCTTCGCCTTTAAATCGCTGAATCGATTTAGATGAAATTGGGTATATAGAATCTGACTCCCGGGAAAGGACATAGGATAGTTTTTATCCCAGAAATAAATTTTTAAGGGTATGATAAGAGGGGTGCAAGTTTGAATGGATAATCAATAACCGATTTTGATTAAATTTGGTAAAGAGATAGTTTGATTCTTGAAGAAAGACAGGCTATATAGGCATATTTTTAACTGACACACGGGCGAGGCTGCGGGCAAAATCTAGTTACCAATAAATGAATCATTGTGAAATGAATGACACGAAACAGTCGCAAAATGTGTATATTGTGGAACATGCATTGAATACAGTCCCGTGTTTTAAATGATTATAACACTTACTGACCTACTACATACTTGCTTTAACTTGTTAATTTAGCTAATAAATGACAATGTAACGTACTCTCATTTCCTTGGAATTACCTACAATATGTGCCTAAACTTGTCAGCATTAACCTAATAACTTTGGAAGCCTCTAGAGGTTTTTGTACTCAATTTTATAAACTAATTTGGTAATTGGAATGCACGGATGACGTAGTGGTTTAAACGGTCACCTCGGCGCTTCCTTTTGCGCTGAGTATTTTGGGTTTGATCCCCACATGTAACAACACTTTGTGTGATCCACAAATTGTCGTTATGAATCTGGGTGTTCTTTGTGTCCGTTTCCGTTTTGAAAATTGTGTTTTCTTTAAGCACTATCTTCGCTCATACTCCTATGACTAGATTTTTTTAATCAGAGCATCTTACATGCCATGTACCTATATTAAGACGGTGCATTTTCACTAACTACTAAAGATTGTCTCAGTTAGTGCACTTTTTAAACTTAGAATCTTTTTTATTTCGTGCAAGTGGCAACTCTGAAATTTGACAGCTGTCACCTACGTTTATGCCGATTATAAAAAATGGAGCGTTATAATTGTGAAAACTTATTACAAAAATGAGGAGTTACTTTGAAACCGCTCCGCACACTTCGCCAAATTTTCAGTCGAGAAAGTGCACCTTATGTGTCAACCATTCTAAGAGTGGGGAAGAACCTGGGTCTATTATGGATATTAAGAATCCTTTGCGTTAACGTACCGGTCGGTCTCTTGAAAAAATTGCTGCTGTAAACGAGTGTGTCGCCGAAAACCCGAAAACATCAATTCGGCATCGTTCTCAACAAGTTCAAATTTCACTAAAGCACTACGCAGCGAATTTTGGACAAAAGACCGCCGCCTTGATGCGTACAAGATTCAGCTAACTCAGGAGCTCAAACAAGCAGACCATGGAAAGCGCCGGCAATTTTTTCAATGGGTAATGAATGAAGCAAAGTGAAGTCGATGCCAATGAAGCTCATTTCCAACTGAGTGGCTACGTGAATACACAAAATTGACGAATTTAGGGTTTAGAAAATCCTCATGCAATCCATGAGAAACAAATTCACCCACAACGAGCAACTGTCGGGTGCGGATTCTGGTCAGGCGGCGTGATTGGGCCTTTTTTGAAGATGAGGCCGAAATTGCACTGACTGAACGGCATTCGTTACAGGAATATGATAACGGAGTTGTTGTGGCCTCAACTGGACGGCATGGATCTGGACAACATGTTGTCCAGATCCATGCCGGTGCAACATGGTTTCAGCAGGACGGCCCTACCTGCCACACCGCGCATGAAACAATCAACTTATTGCAGCAACAGTTTCCAGAACACATAATCTCGCGAAATTGTGATATAAACTGGCCACCAAGATCTTGTGGTTTAACACAGTGCGATTTTGTGAGATTTCGGGTTTATGCTAATAAACCAGAAAGAATTCCTGAGCTCAAATCGGAGATCCAACGCGTCATCGGTGAGATACAGCCACATCTCTGAAAAAGTCGTGGAAAATTTCATGAAAAGAGTAATGGCCTGTCATCAGAGCCGTGGGGGGCATTTGCCGGATATTTTATTCCATACTTAATCGGAACATGTCTTTACAATCCAATAAAAATATCACAACCCTTTCATAAAATACGTGTTTTTTTTTAATGAAAAAGTGCACTTACTTACCCTTTAGTATAGGCAGCAGGTTACAGACAGAAGTGTCAGTCGTTAATGAGTTACCAACAAATAGAGTTTATCTATTCAAGCGCCGGGTGTTCACACAAAAGGTGGGCTGTCGTGGGGTTTATTTTTAGAAATATAACCCACTCACCTGGTAGACGATTAAGGAGTCGGAGGCTCAGGTGTAATGTCGTATACAGACATGTTTAATGAATGCAATGGATACGTGCGTAACACTCACCCTCACGAATACATCTTTAATGATCAGGAACATTGAGGCTGATTACACATGAGGTAGTTTATGGAAGCATATCACATCTTAACGTCTTTTATTACTTAACTTACGTGCTTTTGTTTACGATTCTTACGTCGCTTTATTTATAATTCGAGGAGGATACACTTTTACGACCATTGCCATAACTAATTACGTTGTTTTTTATTCTGTTTGTGATTTTACTTGCAGCGTTCTTGAGTTCATATCTATTTATTATTTTTTCATACAAGGTGGATAAACTACATAAAAGATATGTCATATACACTCAACTGGTAGCGGTCAACCGAATGCTTATTGATCAATTTTTTGTATTATAGCAGCATGTATTTACGGCTCGAATGTTTATTAGTAAAGCCAATTGATACTTGCAACAATTTATATTGAGTTGTTATTTCTTCTGCATTTAAATTTATTTTATGCTGAGTTTTATATTGACAATAAAACAATAGTCAACAAAAGTAAATGGCTATGGCGTTTATATACCAGTCGAATCGTATAATGTCAATGTCGACTGCACGGATGGCTTTTCTACGCCGAGTGTTGTGGGTTCAAACCCCACATGGTACGACACTTTGTGTGATTCACAAATTGTTGTTCTGAGTCTGGGTGTTCTTTTTTGTCCGTTTCATGTATGTTTGTAAAGTCCTCCGCGACACAGGATATATTCCTAATGCGGGAGTTGTCTTTTCTAAAAGAGAGAATCAAATCGTTTTATTCGATATCTGTGTAAAAAAATGCAATCGGTTTGGTTTCCTTTCAAAGTTAGCCTGATTATCTTGCTATCGTGAATTCAAATGTTCCGAGACTAAGGAAATCTAGTTTTTTATACTTTTGCAAAAACCACTTAGTGGAAGCAAAGAAAAAAAATTTAATACAAACATCTCATCACATTTTTAGAAACACTGTCTATGAAGATGTTTAATACAATTGTTTCATTTAAAAGAAGGTTTAAATTAAGTTTTAATTTTAAGTCTTTCCAACGAGTGTCATTTATCACGAGTACTGCATTTCGCTTCATACTGTGCGTGTACGAAGAAATGTGGCATTCCCACGGAGGGTTGTCGTCAGGGAGACAGACCATTTTGCAATGTAATTAAGGAAGTGTATGAAAGAGGATTACGAATTATAGAGGAGAATGGAAAAAATATTGGGAAATGGATAAGACGATGATGAATCAGAAGCTTGACTGTTACCATCCTCAAATTATTTGTCCTTCGCTAGTTAGGTAGTTTAGCTCTGAGTAAGCGTTATAAAGTGCCTATATTGTGCGCTTTTAAAAGAATCCTTCAAATATTTAAAATATGACGTGGATGTCATGTAGATTGTGAGTATTGTGAATATGTACAGTGGAATTATGTCATCAATGTGACAAACAACTTTACTGGTATCTGACAAATCATGCTTTTTTTCTTTGCAAATTGTTGTTGTTTTAAGGCTTTTTTTAAAAACGATCATACATGATAATAACGATACTAACACATTACCTGCAGAGATGATAATTTAAAAATATCAACATTTTAAAGAAAAATTGTTTCACAAATATTTACAGGAGATTCTGAGAGTTCATAATGTTTTAGAGGGTTAATAAAAGCGGAATTACTGGTATCACCGCTGTCGGAACGGTGCGTCCAATTTCATTATTTAGATCAGGGATTCCCAAAGTGGTCGATATCGATTTCTCAGGGTGGCTACGTGAATACATGTCGACCCCGTGTCGAACGAAAACTGATTTTGGGAGTCGACGAGGTCTAAAAATCAACCCCTATTAATTAACACAAATTCTTATTTGAATTTTGAAGATGTTGTATTAGTTGTGTTACGTATACCAAACTTGTTATAAGGATGAGTAATGTTTTATAAAGGAGTATCATTGTTGTACTTTTAAAAATTCAACAAGTTGATAAGCGTACAGTAATTTGGCTATGGGGGGTCTCAGGTATCAGTTCATTTTAGAAAAGGGGTCTCTTGGCCAAAATAGTTTGGGAATCCCCGATTTAGATGTTCACTATGTACTTTTTTATGTTGTACTAGCTGACCCGCGTCCTAGCTTCGTCTGCGTATAAGAATAATTTTGCCCCATTTTTGCAAATTTTTTCATTAATCGAGCAGACGAAGCTAGGACGCGGGTCAGCTGTACTAGCTGACCCGCGTCCTAGCTTCGTCTGCAAAACATAAACATAAAAAAGTACATAGTGAACATCTAAATCGAGGACTCTACTCCTGTCGATTATACTGAGAATTTTGTCATTTTTTTAATTTTTCAATTCGAACTAGTAGTGCCTGAGATTAGCGCGTTAAACCAAACAAACTTCTTCAGCTTTATAAAATTAGTAGAGAAATTGCTTATTTCATTCTATAGTTTGTTTGCCCTTTCTTCTCATAAGGCTCAACCACTTGGAAACGAGCGGTTGTAGATCGGCACAGGCATATCATAGATTTTGTTTGATATTTGATTTTTGTTAAATTTATTTGGTTACTATTTGACTAAACAGAGATTGTTGCTTTTATGTGTGTTGATCTATGACTTTAGAGTCTACATGGAAGACGATTTCAAACAATTTTGGAAATTTTATGAAATAAAGAAAGTTTGAGTTTGAGTTTATAGCACAATAGTCATATTCCCATTACCTGAAAAATGAGAAGATTTTACCACTTTACTGGTCGTGAATATGTCTGGTATTCAGTCTTAGGAGGTGCCGTTAAATATGTGGCGTGTGTCTATTTATTTATAGAAAAGCAGTTGAAATAATGTGTATTATTATTATTTAGCTTAAAAGCTTGTATCGTAATTGCTCCAGGGCGCCGAGGACAAACTCAGCATGATCCGGGCGTACCGCAGCCAGGTTGAAAAGGAGCTTCGCGATATTTGCTCAGATATCCTGGGCGTGCTCGATAAACACCTCATCCCAAGCTCACAAACCGGCGAATCTAAAGTCTTCTATTACAAAATGAAGGTAAGAATTTATATTAGTAATACTGCGTACATAGTTTGTTTCTAAGGACGAAAATGTTTCTAAATTAAACAAATTGAGTCATTTGTTCTTTAAAACGATGATTAGAACGACGTACACGCTTGCGTCATGAGAACACAATTTATGGATTATCTACTGCCTTATCAAGAATCAATATGGCTACTTAGGCTGTGCTACATGCACGACTAACGCCGTCACAATTGTTAGACGAAATATCTCTTGAATAATTAACAGACACCCTTACACAAGGGCTGGTTCCTCAGTGGTGGTAAGTGGTAAGTAACATGTGGTTTGTGTTCGTAGGGCGATTATCACCGATACCTGGCCGAGTTCGCGACGGGCAACGACCGCAAGGAGGCGGCCGAGAACTCGCTCGTCGCGTACAAGGCCGCCTCCGACATCGCCATGACGGAACTGCCGCCCACACACCCCATACGCCTCGGCCTCGCTCTTAACTTCTCAGTAAGTAGCTAAAACTCTTGAATATTTGCTTCCAACCCCCCACTCCCAATGTCTCGATGTGATCTTAGCCCCTCTAGGTTAACGGAAAGAAAAGGTAAGATGGCAAAAAAGCGTACATTCTCGCAATCGAAGTCTCTACATCGATTCATCACCTTGTATGAATTAACATACGCGTGACTGTTAATGTCAGTTCTGCAACGCAATAGTCTGTGAGAAAAGAGGCGATAAGTTAAATACTAAAGATACCGATTTTATACAAGATAAGGGCCAAGATAAGACCAATAACAAACATTTGAGTATAGTTACTAAATAATAAACTGAATTTGCCAGAATGTGGTAAAAAAATTCACAATAATTTTGATATACAGAGTTAATGAAATGGACGGAGTTAATGCTGTACATAGAGCACCTAAAGTCTTATAAATAGGTCATAACGTTTTCTATATAAATGTTATCTCTATTACGTCACTATTCGACGAATTTGTACAACAAATTGTTGCGATACAGTGCGATTATGAAATCTAGTAACTGACTGATTACGTTCTTAGTGTCGCTATTAAAGGCGTTCTATTGTCGTTGATTCGCAGAGGTCATAAATAGAACTAATTATGAAAATATCTAACTCCTGCGACAACTTTAAACTCAAATTAATTTCTGCATATTCATATCTGACTCAGATAACCTTGGCCAGTCTCTACTAATTTACCTAAAAACTTTCAAGGTAGAGATTTAATTGTAAGAATACTCAAACACTTCCACGTTACCGATTTTCTACGTAACACTTTAGTATTAATAGACAAAAACTGTCAGTAAACGTAATTATCGCTATTTAAATTTTTACTTACGTATTTATGAAACATTTCTGCTCGAAAATGTTGTAGATTACTTGAAACTTTGACCTTACGTTACAATTAAGTAAACATACATACTTTTGTAACAGAATTAACAGAGAATAGAAATAAAAGTAAGGAAGTAATAACTCAAAAGTCAAATTAGGACCAGTTCATACAAATATTGGTATCGAGAGCACTCCGCCATGACCACATCAATATGTTGTGTCACGCCAAGACGTATGGATAATTTCACATTTGCCTAAGGTGACGCGTGTGAGCACAGTCAACATGTTTGTTAAGTTTTAATCACGCCTGTCCGGCGCGTCACCGCGTGATGTCATCTGCACAGAATAAGTGCGTAGGGCTGTGTCACAATATTTAGTACATTTCTTGTAGGTTGCGAGTTACTCATGCGTTGTCACTCTCTTTACATCATACATTTGCAACAAAAATACGAAAGCTAGTACTGACCTAGATTTTGTTAAAATGAAATCATCCGTTGCATCGATCTGCATTGGCCTTGTCTAGCTCTTGTTAACACCTAAAACTGGAGAGCTGAACAATTTTGTACAACTAGATTAAATTAGGTATGTATTATCTAAAAAAAATATCTCATTCATCAAAGTTCATTATTACAAATTAAGTTATTATTTTTACACAATTTCTGCAATTAAAGCAATAGTTACAAATTAAAATTTTAACCCAAACTTGGTACTAAGTATCCGAATCTTCAGTTCGCAGCATTAGAATCTATATTCCCTACTATACACAGATTTAACGCAAGTCATAATAATATTTAGGCCAGGCTTTTTTCTAACATATCTGAGTGTGTAAATTATATCATGTTTTTTTCAAGTAAGTGCCTATTTAATCTAGTTTTGTTATTTATGTTCACGACCGCATATAAAGTATTTACCGTAGACGACCAAAATCCTTCGTTAGTCCACGGTATGTAGTTAAACCGATATTGTTTATGAGCAAATCTTTTGGCCATTTATCATCGTATTTCATCAAGCGTAAGGTACAGTTTACCTTGACTAAGACCTCGAGTTGCCAACGTGAGGACAATTTTGACATAAATATACCATATGGAAATGTTACGCAGGACTGAATTAATAAGGATACGCATATATTTACGACCTTCGTAAACATAATGTATGTACTTGTTTATGTGCCGTTGGCTGTTTTCTCATACATCTAGAAGCTTTAAGCTGTTAGGGATGTATCTCATTTGCATACAGGTTGATACAAAAACCAATATTGTTTATAAAAGGCGTATACAACTAAGTAATCGTTCTTTTTATGTTGAACATCATTATGGCAGTGTGGTGATGAGCAGTAGTCTTCCATATTTCACTTTTTTCTACTAACAAAAGACGCCTGCTTCAAACATAGAAGCGAGATTATTATGATGTGCCGTACTCATTTATATTAAAGGATATTTACGACGGAATTGTCATTGCAATTAGCATGTCTCGTCAATACTACAAATACTAGTATTAGGAATATTTGTAACGGACGTGGCTCCAGTATCAATAATCTGGCCGTTGGATTGCGTCATGCGATAGCGTGTTTTGTGTTATCCATTCAAACGAGTCGAGTTCAAGGTCACATACACACTGAATTTTACGAGTGCGTAATTATTTTTTTAACTTGGCACAAAATAGCCGGAATGTACGCGCAACAAAGCGCCGTTTCTCTGAATTAATGTATAGCACATGTTTAATGTTATTACTAATAGTGACAATTGATTGAAATTTAACACACCTACTTCGGTGAAACCGGTAGTTTCCCAAAACGAATTTTAAAATAACGTGTGATTTTCCACCTGCAGGTATTCTATTACGAAATCCTAAACAGCCCGGACCGCGCGTGTCGGCTGGCCAAGGCCGCCTTCGATGACGCCATCGCGGAGCTAGACACGCTGTCGGAGGAGAGCTACAAGGACTCGACGCTCATCATGCAGCTCTTGAGGGACAACCTCACGCTGTGGACTTCGGATATGCAGGGCGACGGCGAGTCCGCCGATCAGGAGCAGAAGGAGACGGCCCAGGACGTCGAGGATCAAGACGTCTCGTAATACCTCCGACTTCTATTTAAATATAATAAAAAAATAACTATAGTATCACGTAAGACCCAGCCCCCAATGACAACCGGTTGTATGGTACTCCTCCACAAATCTCGCCCCTCCCTCCCCCGACGGAAATTGTCAGTGGCGCGCTCTGAGCCGTCGAGAGCGCGGCGTTCATATTGTATACTAACGTTTCGTTTATGTATCGTGTCAAATTATCTACGCGTCATATACATAAATATGTACTTCTTTTGATATATTTGTTTTCAATTACGAAAAATAATAATGTTAAGAAAAAAGTACTTTGGTATTGCATTTTAACTGTATGTTCTATGATGTATTTTCATAACTGTAAGCACTCGATTGATCTCTAGCGATGTTGCCTAGCTTGTACTGCCCTTCCGCACGTCGCGCGAGCGTCCCGCGCCCGCGTACCGACACCGACTTGCCGTGCGGCTTCTTCTTAACGTGGGAATTGTACATTTTCTAAGTATTTTATACTGTGTGTAAAATTAACGTATTTTAAAAACTCTGTTGATACTTGAAACAAGCACCATAGCGTCGAGGATGTTTAATGGGATATACAAACAATATGATAACGATAGTCGGATACATTAGCGAGTTGCGTATCGTCACCTATGTCGATATAGTGTTTACTTTGTAATCGCATCTCCGTGTTGATTCAGTCTGCACAAATAGTAGTTTTATACAATGGACGTTTAATCTCGTGGCTAGGTTGTTGTTTTGAGACTGTTGCTAGTTCGTGTTAGTGGCTCCGTGCGGGGGCGCCTGCCGGGGGCCGGTCCGGACCGGACCGCGGCCCGGACCGACCGCTCGGCCCGGACCGACCGCCCGGCCCGGCCCGGACCCGCCCGCGAGCGAGTCTTCCGCGCGCCCTCGCTACATTTGTATACATTTGAATCATTTATTGATATATTTTAAAGGATGATCGTAACATTATTAGGGTGGTATGATGTAGTTACTTGCAATATTTAGCTAAGTGATAGCGGCGTCACCCTGTTGGTCTTTGTGTATCTATCTACTATGTATCGTACGTGTATGTATTTATTGCAAATGGATAAGTTTGTGTAAACTGTGACTACTGTGTAGTACACGCGCTGTACGAACAACGGACGGATGACAGACGGACAGACCCTTACGCACACGCGAACAGGTCGTACGGAGACTCGACGGGATGGCCGTGGCTGAGCTTAAATAGAATTAAAGACATGTCGATGTACCCGCGCTTCGTTCGTATTACAACATTTGGAGTATTCACATTTGAATTGCTTTAATTACTTACGAGTATTGTGATAGAGATTTTGTATATTTTAATTTATTTTTTTTAATTTCGCAAGTTCTCGAAAATTGCTGTAGCGCTACATCTCTTACGATTTTGCAGGACAAACAGTAGTTCTAAAAGTTGTGCTAGGTTAAGGTAATGCACTTGAAAATTATTTATTTGATGTGCGTCACGTAAAGGCGCGACCGACAGATATGCCTACTCGAAGACATTCCATCTTCACGATACCTGTTACTGAATATCTGGCCCGTGTTCGTCTGAACTCCAAATTGTAGTGTGGCATAGCGGCGTGGAGCAAGTGCGTGCCAGAGTAAGATATTAGCGTTATTTTTATTTGAATTTGTAATATTGCATATTATTTGTTAATTTATCCACAAAAATACTAATGCAATTAGCCTTAGTGTTATGCAATATTGATTTATGTCCTACCAACTACATGGAAATTTATTGTAAATGACAGTGTAAATCTAATAATAAAAATTCAAAAGTCCAATGTTTTGTTTTATTGGTATCGACAGAAACATTTTCCTTGATTCGTCAAAAGCAGTTATACCATTTGAAGTGTTGTACGGCAAGTTGCGCCCGGTAGGTATTAATCCGAACAATTATATACGATAGAGTAAACAGAGTGAAGCTACATCTCTGCGTAACGCCAACGGATCGAGCCGATCGGAGATCTTATGGCTATCGACGATTCGAGTCTCTCTTCGCCAGCCACCAGCTTCTCTCTGCACCGCATCCAATGCAGATGTAGGTGCAAGCTGGTACTGGGAAAGATACTAGAGATGACAACAGTATTCCATATGCGGCTGGACTTGCATCTTAGAATTGAATCGCCGTAAACCTTTTGAAAAAATCTCATTGTAAAGTAAGTATTGAAAAAAAGAACTAGCCCGGTCCGAAGTCAAAATACACAACAAAGCGATCGCTATGCGTAATTGAAAAAAAACCTGACTGCTTCCTGGGCTTTCCCCTGGCCGCCATCTTGTGTTAGTGTGCGTAGGTAACAAAAAACAACCTACCCTTACCTTATCTAAAATCAGAGATAATATACTTAAATACCTAATGCTATTATGAGCATTTGGTTTTTATTAAGGTTACAATAATAAAACTTCTGTTCTTAAATATAAAATGATTTCATCATCATCATCACAAGCCTATCGCAGTCCACTGCTGGACAGGCCTCTCCTGTTACACGCCACTCCGATTGATTTTCCGCTCCTTATTTCGGATTTATTAATTCAAACTTACTTAATATAAACTTACGAACGAAACCGACGCCGATCGATACCTACTCAACGACACGTCACCGACAGCTACATTTTTCATTATCACCTGATACGGCGTCACAAATAATAGGTCTTTACCTATGAAATTGCCGTTTTGTATGCAATAAGTGAAAGTACTTATTTTTTCAAACTTTTTTATTTCTGTTATTCGAAGTTATAACTTTTTCCAAAATTTAGACAACTTTTTAGTGGGTAAAAAAATTCAATTCCCGAGAGGCAGTATAAAATGCCTTTGAAGAGTTTGTTGCCAGCTGATTTTTACAAGACGGGCATCAATAAACTGCCAATGCGTTGGCAAAGATGCGCCGATTGCATGGGTGATTACTTCGAATACCTAACAGAAATAAAAAAGTTTGAAAAAATAAGTACTTTCACTTATTGCATACAAAACGGCAATTTCATAGGTAAAGACCTAAATAATATGAAATGAAAAATAGATTATTCAAAATGTAAATTTATTCTATAATTCGGACCCACAAAAAGGAAGCTGTATTCGTTACCTATAAAGGTGTACAAACTGCCTTCCAAACTAAGTATTCCTGTAACTTGAAGACAGTGTGTCGCTAATGGTTTTACGGTATTCCAGTGTGAATGAGAAGAGTGAGAGTGAGAGAATGTTGTTGGATAATTATGTGTCAAAATAATAATAATAAAAGTTTATTTCTCTTTTCACAAATGGATACCTTAAAAGAAAATACAGTAGTGAGTTAGCTTCTTAAATCCACATTTGTAAAAGACTGGTCCTTGATGTAGGTTAAAAAAAGGAATCTGTGTTCAGTTCACCAGTAAAATCTTTTTTTTTTCACATAAACAGACTAATTTGTGTTTATATTGTGTGAGTAAGCAATTCTTTGGTCTGCCTTAAAAATTTAAACATTAAACTAAGACCATAGTAAATCTGTGACAAAAAATGTGCGAAAAATTTACAAATTTGGGAGAAAAGAGATCTTCGCTAGGTGCCCCAGTTTTTGAGATACAAGCGTGGCCATGCTAGGGAGACTGACCCCAGCAGGGCCCCATATAAACGCTTATGACTTCTGAACCAGTGACCGACATGTTCTAATATTTGGCGACTAATTTGCGACTAAATTTGGGAGAAAACAGATCTTCGCTAGGTGCACTAGTTTTTGACATACAAGCGTTGCCCTGCTGGGGAGAATATAAACGCTTATAACTTGAACCAGTGACCGACTGGCTACAAATTACGATTTTTTTTAATGTTATCAAAATTAAAATCCCTGATGGTGGCCAACCCAGTGTCAGTGACCCCGCAGTAATTATTTTTTTCCTTTAATTTTTGTGAAAAGTGTATATTTAATTCTCTTGTATTTTATCTAACTAACGAAGGCCATATCCGAGAAATACAATATCCTTCTTAGTAGTTGTATAAACCAGAGGCAGAATATCTCATCTCTTGGAGAATAAATAAAAACCCAAACATTTTGCATTGATGACATTTAATTCCAAACTTCAAGTTAATTATCTAATCATGCAATTACATTTTCGTTTCGCTCTAAGTACAAATATGAATAGTAAACAAGGTATACATACTTTCACTTATCACTACGATACTACGATAACCTACAAATTCATTCCTTTATAAGTTTCCATTAACGTTACAAACATTACACAAGCGTACCTACTGTTAATATTTGTCAAAGCAACATTTATAGCTAATTCTTAGGTGCTACTATTTGTGTTCCCCAAATGTATGTTTATTTTACTGCATTACAATATCGTGATGTTAACGGCAGAGTTCGTAGTGTTGTCAGATTTGTGACAAAGTTGTTGTCGCTAATGTTGATAACGACCTGATACTCTTTCGCCTTTAAATTAGTGTATACAATAATAATACGTTTATATTCGAAATATCCTTGTAGATTGGAGACCTTTGTTCTTTTTACAATTCTTTTCTATCCAAAATTATTGACCACACGCTCAATTGTATAACAAAAGTCACTATCTGGTCAAAATTTAAGTAGTAGTGCTTTTAAAAATGATCGCCATTTATATTAGTACCTAATTTTTTTTAAAATCTATTTTTTATTATTATTTGACAGTGTGGATTTAACAATAACACTGCACAACACGGTTAAAAGGTGAGTAAATTATTAAATAAATAATGTAACAACTTTCCTATTTTTAATTACCTTATATCTATGAGCTAATGTAGATGGTTCTGGTACCAATTATTACTTATAAGTATTCATAATATCATTACTATTCGCCAAAGACTGTAATATTTAGCAGGTTCCTCTGTAGGACTCTCAAATTGTGGTCTTCTCTAACTCTGTTTGACCACATGTCCAGTATATAGACTAGGTCCGGTCAATCATCATCTATAAATGAATAAACATTAACTCTTTCTTGGGACAGAGCTTGCCAGTTTATGTCGTCCTTTAAAAGCCATTCGAACAAAATATTTTGAAAATTTCTATATGAATAATGTCGCTATTTTTAGACACCACAATTGACCAAGGAATGTCCATCTCCAATAAATTAAAAGATTATGTGAAAGCCAGTTATTTATAATTATAAGGTTTTTTTCAGCAATAGTTTTGACATGAGACCAATTTGAACCATGAACAACAATAGCTGTATCATCTGCATAAGTATAAAGGGAGTACAAAAGCTCCCACCATTTTATTATGTATCTATAACGAGTCTTTAAAAAATGGTAGTTCCTCACGCCAATTATCATAGAATTAAGCATGTTTATTATTACCCACTTAACTAAAACTCGTCCCATGTATACAATGCATACATTATAATAATTGTTTAATCGCTATCTAGTCCAATATATTTACAGACTAGCAATTACCAGAGAACATTATAACAATAGGTTTAAAATAGTACCCTATTATCAAAAGAAAAACAACTGAAAATGACTAAGACGTATAGTTAATAAACAGATAGCAGATGGTCCTTAAAGTTTACGAGATTAACAAGAGTTAATGCTTAACCTTATTGCTATATATATATATATATATATATATATATTGCGTTATATTATACTTATGTAATATAAATATTAAAAGAATGATTTTCAACTTTAAGCCTTGTGTTTTCGCACAACACTAAAGTGTTAGGGTATCAATCAGTAATACCCCTCACACTTTAGTGTTGTTCAAAGGTATTACAAAATTCGTACAAAAACTACGTACCACGCCAACCGTGCAGTCAAATTAACGATCAAATACAAAAATTATTAATTAACCTCATTCTACAGTGTGTGTGTTTCTTTATTCTACTACTAGCTGAGACCCGCGGTGTTACCCGCGTTTATTGTTATAACCGCGGGCAACGCCGGGCGAAGCTAGTCTATAAAAAGTAGCCTAAGTTACTCCTTATGTCATCAGCTATCTGCCAGTGAAAGTCCCGTCGAAATCGGTCCAGCCGTTCCAGAGATTACCCGGAACAAACAGACAGACAGACAGACAAAAATTGTAAAAATGTTATTTTGACATATGTACCGTGTAAACATACATTTGCATTTAGTAAAAAGCGGTTATTTTAATATTACAAACAGACACTCCAATTTTATTTATTTGTAAAGATAAGTACTAAATGCCTAAATATTTGATGCATTGTTGGTGTACTGGATAGACTAGACATTATTTTTGAGAAAAAGTAAAACAATATAGCTTCTACATTGTTTTTAATTTCCTTTCGTCACGCTTTCTGATCATTCAAGTTACACTGATCAATTAAATAAACCAATACACACAAAACTTATAGAATGATGGTCGAAATATTTTTCCATTCTAGTATATTCTGTTAATATCAAATGCTCATATTTTTACTACCCTATTCTATAATACTAATTTCTACTGTAAAATTGATTTCGAAATTGGCATAAAAATAAGAAATCTGTTATACATATGATGTTTGGCTAAAATGCACTTAATGAATTGCTGTTTTTGGTTTAATATAGAATAAAAGCAGAAGCTTTATATTTAACCTATGTTATGATAACTTGGCCGCACGCGATATATTTAAGCGTTATATTAAAGACATTTATAATACTATTTATTATACTATTTCACTGACAATTGAAATGATTTGCCGAATTGTACAACTTAATAGTATGTAATTAATTAGAACAAAGTGCCGTCGAATGGTTTATGCATAGTCTTTCTATGACAAAACAGTTTATGTTACAACATTGTTTCTTTTTTCTATTTTATCAAAAAGTTTTGAATGTTTTGAAATACTGTTTGGCCGCCGAAGTAAATTGGATATTGCGAGATACATAAATCATCCTTTAACCCAACAGCATTGCCTTTTTAATAAGCCTTTAATAGTCCAGTGCTGGACATAGGCCTCTCCTTAGAAAGGAGGTTTTGCGAGATACGACACAATCGTTTGCTGTAATCAACATATGTTATTATATTGACAGTAAGTTCATTCATGTAAATAAAAACATCTAACAATCAATTATTTTATGAGATAAAGTATTGCAGTGGTGGTACAGTGGTGGACTTACCTCGTTCTATTTTAGTGGGCCCATTTATAACAAAGAACAATTATAAAAATTATAGGCTGATTACACCTCAAGCCCCGGCAAGGTTTAGTGAAATTTTGTTATATAATCTTACTTTTGGTCCAGCTCAGGGATGACTAGTGGGAGTTGCCACACGTTAAAACAAAAGGTACATATTGCAAACTGTATTAAATAATCTAAAATAATAAATTTACCTCATCATAGATCAACATTATTGAGATTAGACCCAGAGTGTGTTGGTAGATCATCTTTGACCAACAAAGTACCAATCGGGACGACAGCTTCATCGCGCTCCCGAAGTTTCCTCATCTCGTGGCGCAGTTTGTCCAGCACGGCGTAGTTGGGTTCGTTGTGACGTGCCTTGTCTTGGAGAAGAGTGATTTGCTGTTCTTCTAGTTTCTTCTCCTTGCAGCTCTTTTCTGATTTTGAGCCGTAGAGGCGGAGGAGACTGCCCCAGGAGCGAACGTGAGGATGCAACGCCTGCGATGATGGACGATAAATTAAGATCACTATCAACATACTCGTAGATAGTAGACTAGTGTTAGCTATAAAAGATACAGAAACATCTATATTCTTTATGGAAGACTATTGCCACACTAATCTATAAAGGATCTGTTGACGGGTCTGTTGGTGTAGTGGTTAGTGCCCCTGACTGCTAAGCCGGGGCGTTCGATTCCCACCCAGGACAAATATTGTGTGATGAGCATGATCGTTTGTTCTGCGTCTAGGTGTAATTTATCTATAATATGTATGTATTTAAAAATATATAAGTATTTTTATCAGCAGTCTGGTTTCCATAGCACAGGCTCTGCCTAGTTTGGGATCAGACGGCCATGTCTGAGATGTGTGAGGTACATTATAAGGTATCTTTTCGTTTGATTCGTCCATCCAAAGGAGATCTTTTTTATTGCACTTCCGTTTTATTTTAGTATACTTTAATCAGGATGAAGGACTAAGGAAGCAAACTAGGCAGGACAACAGCACTGCAGAAAGAAGGAAAACTTGAAACAAACCCTATAGAAACCCGTCTGGCCAGCGTGGTATAGTAGGCCAAAACCTACCTAAGGATAGGCCTATGTCCAGCAGTGGACTAGTAAAGGCTGTTGATGTGATGTGAATTAGATTGTAAATCTTGTCTTAGACATATTTCATCTTTCTCTCTCTTTCATCTGTTCAGAGATTATATATCAAGGTACATTTGAATAACATCTGACCTGCAGTATGGCCTGTGAGGCGCGCTGCTTCGCCGTCTTCTTGTTCTTACAGATCACGGAGGCCGAGTGTTTGCCAACCTTCATCGTCAACTCGATTTTTTGAAACTCTAGTTTCTTCATCTGTGAACATACATACACTGGTAGTTGATATCTTAATACATTAACATTTCAAAAAGAGCCAAATCATAAACATTCAAAAGAGAAAAGGCTGCCAAGGCTGCGTTAGAAGAGAGAGTGATCCGGTCCGGATGTCTTGATAACAGCAGTTCCTGGATCCCTCCTATTACAGGGGCAGAGTGGGACACCGTGTGGTTTTTGTCGGTCCGATTCCGACACACCACCCCGCCGCAAACCCTGGTGGGTGACGACACGAGGGGTTTCCACACGTAAAAAAAATAATCAGCATTCTATTCAGCATAAGTACAGATGAAATTTCATTTCATTTACAAAAATAAATAATGATATTTCAGTCTGATCTTTACTCCTGGACGGGCTGACTCGGCAAGGATTCACTAGTTCACAATTCGGTCCTCTATCCCGAAGTTCCTGAGCAGACCAGTGATACGTGTCGGTTACCTGCGCCGGAGTTTCTGAGCAGGAAGATGTGAGCTTTCGCCGTATCTTATTGTTGAGGAGTAAAGACCAAACTGAAATATAATTATTCTGACGGTGTCAGTGACGGTACACAGTACTGGTTGATGGGTCCTTAGCGGGCAGACGTACCTCAGTGTGTATGAGCCGGTCCCCTGCGCCGAAGTTTCTGAGTAGGCATGTGCGCAATATGGCATGAGGCGAGGGTTCACAGGTTGCAGCACAGAACTCCGTGATGCGAGGGTCCTCAATGCCCACTAAGTCGAAGAAATCCTGTATTACAAAAAAAAATATAAGAGCGCCCTGAGAGAAAAACCGACTGAAAAAAGCATGACTAAAGAAAGACGAGAGGACATTATTTTTAAATTTTATTATAACTTCCTTGATATCACTACCTGTTACATACACACTGAGCTATTCATTGACTATACACGTATACTGCGTAGATACATATTGAAAATCATAAAGATTTTTTTAATTTCCTAAAGTAAATCCGGAGTGCCCAACAGTCCATGAGCAAACTACGATATATTATGATGTCCAAATGTTCTAAAATTTAACTGTATACTTAATATGTCATCTGAGCGCTATCTGAATGAGGTAATTAATAATAATAATAATATTCTACCACATACACACAACGCCATCTAGTCCCAAACTAAGCAGGGCTTGTACTATGGGTACTAGACAACTGATATAAATACATATATACTTTATTTTTTGTAAATACATACATATTATACATAGAAACACCCAGTCCCTTCTGTGTAGAAAACAACTTTAATTTCACAAATCCAATTCAAATTTCGCTCATATAAAGGCTCTATATAATAATATATACAAGGACATCGCACCGAATACTAAAAGAGTGTATTCAGACCATAATTCTGAGTCGAAAATCGTTGAAATGTTCTGCCGGAAAATTCGTCAATTTTATTTTATTTTTGTTAAAAAATATGAAAAATGATATCACAATGAGTAGACAGAACATTTTACCGAAAACAATGTAATAAATACCAAAAAACTGCAATGTAATTAAATAAACAGCCGAAGCGCTAGGGGCCTCCCCTTCGGCCGCCATTGCATCATGGTATCAAATACGTCTTTAGTAAAAACGTGATATAAAGTTTCCTAAATCCTAATTAAATTCCTAAAATCAGATTTCCATGTGTGGCCATCGTCCATACCTAACTAATATATTTTTTTTATGATCAATAACAACTATGTACAGACTAGGATCCTATGAGCTAAATTTCACCAATTACAGAGACTACTAACATGAAAATCAGGCTGCGTCTTATCAGTATCCTGAGGTCCAGCGGCGTCCAATTCATCCTTCATCTCGGGAATGAGGATGTGGATGGAGGCCCTGGCGGCCGCAGACTTGGCCTGCCTCTTGCTGGACCCGTACCCTACGCCGTACTGCATACCGCCGATGTACACTATCGCTTGGTACGGCTGCGCAGCGTTCTCTGTATCACAATCGGACTAACAATTTACACATTTAATAAATCAAGTTTCTCATACAACTTAAGTGAAGCAAAATGATGGTTGCCTTTAAAGTCAAACCTTAATGGCTTAATAAATTCCCTAATATTCTCCAAATATAATAAATACACGTAGTAAACTGATCGATATAATGTTTATGTATTTAAAGAGTCTTCCCAGCCTTACCAAGTTGTCTGAAGTGGTATACGGGCTGTTTCTGCAGCGCCCTCCGCACGTACTCGTGGAACACCGACAGGTAACTGCGATCGTTCATGTTCATCACCCAGTCGCGTTTCGTTGATTTGCCACCTAATAATAACATGCATTGAAATCAAAAGTTTGTAGCGACGTAGCTAATAACAGCTGACTGACTATAATGGCAAACAGCGGTACATCCACGTGAACGAAGAGGCAATCTAGAAACCATGATCCCCACATTTTATAAGCTATTAGCGGTAAACATAGTATTAACCCCCATTCAGGGCATCTATTTCATCTTGAGTCGATCTAAATAAGTCTATACCTAACGCAAAATTCTTATTTCATTAATAGGAAATGGAGAGGCCCAAATGCAAAAACTTGCCTACTCAGAAATTTTAATATGGTACGGGGGCAAACGCGCAGTCAGGTCACCTCATGGTAAGTAAGTACCGCTGCCCATTGACACTTACAGGTTAAGAGATACGTGTGTTATCGCCCTTTGAATGAAGAGTTAGGGGAATGGGCCTCTTTTAACCACTTGTCGTCTGGTGACCACGTGTAGGCAAAAAGTATTTTTACACATTATTACTTACGGTACGGCTGGTCCACAAGTTCAAAGTCGCTCAACGTGCTATGGAAAGGGCTATGCTCGGCATTTCTCTAGGGGAACGCATCGGGAATGAGGTGATCCGACAGAGAACTTAGATCACTTATGTATGGCATACTGTTTTTGAAGTAGGACACGAATATATACATAAAAATCGTCGTACCATTTTCTTGTCCAGGTGTAGCCGGCTGTGCGGGAATGGTGATGAGCTTGGTGCCCTCGGGCAGCGTGGGGTACTGCAGGGTCTTGCGGGCCTTCGTGTACTTGCGCCTGTCCGCCCAGCGCCTGCAGACACACGAGTTATCCTAAACTCTACCTGATGATAGATCTGGTTAAACTACCTTTCAAGACTGATCTTTATTATTGACAAACTTGCAAAAATTATTTATGGACGAGAGAGAGAGAGAGAAGGTTCGAAGTTCGGTAAACAAAACAAGAGAAACAAGTAATATGCCGTATTATATATAGATGACTGGGTTAACATAAAGTAAAATAGTCTTTTTTAGTTAACCTCTTTGTTCTGTTGTTTGTAATTTTATGTTTAACAAAAACAACAAAAAAGTCAAGCTTTCGTAAATTTACCAAAATACTTACTTAAAATGCATAATGTTAACAGTTTTAAACTTAAACAGTTTCTTGCAATAATCGTTAATCTGATCTGCATTTAGATGCTGGGTTTTCCAACTGGTATTTATTGTCTCCACCCTGGGAGGTGGCATCACAATGCCGCCTGGAAGTACCACAGGTTGCCTGCTTAAAGGAATAGGTTCACTTGCAGTTGAATTTGAATTACTTTCCTTCTCCTTCTCACTCGAGTCTTCTTTCTTAGAATCGTCGCTAACTTGGCAATCGCTTCTTGATATATCTTGGAGAATCTCTTCCTTTATTTCAAGGGTCTCACGAAGTAAATCTTCACTCTGGAATTTTGGACATGATGACTCTGAGGATTTATCAGGAAAATCTGGAATTTTTTGGTTCGATAACTCCGGCTTTTGTGGGTCGCCAACATCTGATATTTGTTGACTTATAGTCTCATAAGGTTGTAAGTTGGCAGATGCTGAGCTTTCTTGACCTGAAGACATTAAATGCCGCATACATTTTATCGTTTCTGTGTCCTTGGACTGCGGCTTTTGGAGGGTTGCAGAATCTTGGATTTTGTGGTCTTTATTTTCCATCTCCTGTCCTGTTGTAGGCTCAGATACTTTATTGCTTTTTGGCTCGGTCGTCTCTTGGCCTTGGCGCGTAGACGATCCTAATTTTTGGTATTGAGATTGTGTCCCACTTGCAGTCCCAGGCTGGTCAGTACTATTACAAGAGATATTCTTAGATTGTGCCCCAGGACATATGGTGTTCTGATAACTCTCATAGTTACAAGGCCATGTACCATTTCGTATTTGTTCTTCTATTCTTCTATCGATCTCCTTTTGCTTTTCCTCTTCCTCTAAAGCCCTTCTATACGCGTAGCAGGGTATTGCGCTAATTGGAATATCATGACGCTGTAAATAGAAATCAAGTGAATATCTTTGTAATATATTTGTTTATCTTTTGCATCAATTTCAAAAATAAGGTTTTATTAAAATTGGTTTAGAAATTACTACCAATTCTTAAAAGATTGCTTCTACAAGATAATTATTTATTTTAACTCGAAGTCACGTATTTTTTTCTGCACCTTGTGATTTTTAAATAAAAAAAATACAGTCTAATCGAATTTAAACATATATTATTTGTTACAACCAGACAAATTGGTATGCTTTCTAAACACTAATCACTTCAGATAACCACTGTCAAAAGGCTAGATTGGAGTTTTTTAAATGTTTTCTAACTCTTTAAAATCTCAAAGGAAATACAATCGTCGGTTGGTGGAGTAGACTCGATAGACAAAATCAATAAAGGGAATATTGAAATCACAGTCATCGTCTAAGCTGCCATTAAATAGTAAACTGCTTCTATCGGAAGAGAAAGACGTGACGTGGCGACAAAGGACATGACTTCTGGACTTACCCTTGTGTTATTTTTGCCGAGGAAATATGGTTTGGAGAGTGTACAGACACGCGTAGAGCGTTGCATGTAGATGGGCATGCCGCTCATGTGCCTTACCATGATCCAGTCCAGAGGTAGAACTTCAAAATGATTTATGCCTTTTTCTGTAATCGGAATGCAGTCATAAATGTATTCACAGCATAAAAACCCAAGCATTGTTTGATTTTTTTAAACAATATTGTTCTTAGTGTCTTGATCTTAACAATTTCAAAACTTTAATTCGTTTTTAAAGTTCATTTAAATTCTGGTGGGGTCAAATTACGAATTTCCATCAACAGCCTTTAACAGTCCACTGCTGGACATAGGCCTCTCCTTAGAAAGGAGGTTTTGGCCCACGCTGGCCAGACGGGTTGGTATAGGGTTTGTGTCAAGTTTTCCTTCTCTCTGCAGTGCTGTTGTCCTGCGTAGTTCGCTCCCTTAATCGGCTATTACGACACCCACGGGATGAATAGGTGTGGTGACACACTGTATTCTTAATCCGTCACCACACGGACAATTACAATCAAATAATACCTTGCCGCATATTAACAAATACTGACAAGAAATTGGTAACGAGATCTTATACCTTCTAAAAGTACTTTCTGTCTGGTTATGAAGGGTTTTTCTCTCGTCTTAGGGCCTCCTTTAATAGAATCCGGAAGGTCAGCATCCAACATCATCTCGATCTCTTCATCGGGGAGCTCAACCGATTTACCTAAAAATTACCTCTTAATGTTTATGGGAAGATGATGTCGAAACATTCATGTGTAACGTCGAACTTTATTGAAACACTTAAAAAGCATTAGATTGCTACCATGCAGCTTTTACATAAATTTGAGTGAGACGGCCAGATTTTTTCTAATTTACATTAAAATATTACTGTAGGTCAGGGCAGAGCATGCTGGAAAATACCTGTAAAACCAGAATCTCATAATGTTAGTACATAATGAGAATTTACTTAAATTTGAAAAATATAACTTAATAGAATGGGAAACGATTACTTGGTTTCGCTCAGCAGAAATAGTTTATAATACTTAAGTATAATAATAATTTTAGTAATGGTGACCAACCTCATTTACACGAGAAAAAAATCAATAAAACAGAAATAGACCATAATTGACACTAAACATAGAAAATAACAGTCAGTTTTCAACAATCTCAATTTCCATTACCTATAGCATACATTTTTATACATGCAAGTTAGCAAAAATACTTTATAGTGAGATATGTAAAGACACAGATACCATCAGAATCATCGGAGTTCTCATCGTTGCTATCTTCATCATTGGACTTGACTTCGTCCAGAACATGAAAGCGTCTCAGCTGCTCAAGTTCTTCAGGTGTAACAAAGTTACGTAACTTGTCTTGCGAAACAGATGGAGATTCTTCTGCCTCTTTTGAATCCTGCAAAGGTTCATTTTGATCTTTCCCACTATCAGTTGAGTCTGATAGTATTTGTTTTTGAGTGGCATCCTCAAGCTTTCTCTTTTTAGTAGGCTGTTCAACGATTGATTCTTCTTCACTCATATTGTTATCTCTAAAAATATTAATTATTTGAATATGAGATTACCAATGGCTACAACCACAAATATAGCGATTATTAAACAAGTTTCTTTTCTGATCACCTTCCACATTCACACTGTGACCGATAAGATATAATTGTAAGTTTAACCTGCATACATAAGGGCGTACCCAGGGTTTGGCCGAGAGACCTTCTTTTAAGCCTCTACCCTGCGCTTGTTTTGAAATATACACCCAATGAAGACTCATGTACTACTTCCGCATCATGGTCTAGCAGTACAATGCAGCGCCTGATACCGATCCGAAATGTCGTTCTACCCATTGATATGTGTCCCTAACTAGTCAGACATTTCTGAAATTCACATTTAGGTAAAACCATATATCGTTATAAATAGGAATAACAATAATAAAAGCTTTTTATTCTAAGTAAGAAAGACAACAAGCGTGACGTTAAATAAGTTGTAACATGACACACGTAACTTTATTAGGCGAGTCAACACAGAGCGAGCAGCCTCGGGAAGGATTTGCCGCGCGAAGTTACTCAGTCTGTGTGGACATGGCTCGGCCGAGGCAAGCGCAAAAACGCCTGGGTCGTTTGCCGTCCGCACTCTGGACACACGCGTTGTTTAGTTTCGTGCTTCGCTCGAGCATATCAATCTTTGATATATATTGTTTTAAATGCGAAAGAGTGCTGCATTTTTCTGCACTCCATCATCAATCAATTCTTGGTACAGTTTGTTTCCATAAATTTTATTTGCATTAATGTGCTTATGTCTGGATCCAATATTGTCTTCTATGTGTTATAATCTTATTTATAAGGATAAAAACAACAGCTGTCACAGCAACACGTACAATTGGTACCAAGATGTGTTAACTCTCAACGGAACGAACGAACAAATGGCTCTGGCTTGCCGCGCGCAGCACCTCGCGATGATACCGAAACTGCTGTGCTTGTTCGGGGACAATTTCCTCGAGGCATTTACCGCGGCAGGCTGCTCGCTCTCTGTGGACCCGCCTATTCGATAACCGTAGATACTTCCGAATATATAAGGCTGAAAGAGAAGGTGGCGCTCTTCTGGGTACGCCCATGACAATAGGTTCATACAAGACATGTGGTTGGTGCATGACATCTCAAAATCAATGCATGTTTGACTATCATTTGATTACATACTACTTAAAGTAGAATTACTGATACTTGCCTGCTTGAAGTTAGCTATTATAAGGATTAAGCAATATCAAAGTATTCTAAGCTACCTACTACGTAGCTTAGTAGGTCCACATTAGTAGTAACTAAAGTGCACCTACTCCTAACCTAAACTATAATTTGACCATAGAGTTAGCTAAATAAGCAGTATTCCATCTGATTAGAAAAATAGTTTATACATATGTAGGTTAAATTCAAATGTAACTTTTTATTGATGACTTTGTGGTGTAAACACAAATTCGCCAATTTCATATATCTGGTGGGCTTGTAAAAGTTCAGTATACAAGAGACTGGATTGTGCAGTAAATTATTTTTTAAGTATTAGAATTAGTAAGGCTGTCTTAGTAATAGCACTACATGTGTTTAAAGTAATTCAAATAATAATATTTCGGTTTCTTTTCTCTTCTTAGATAGCGATTACAAAATACACTGTCGTAATTACTATAAAAAGCAAAAGATCATTGTAGTTGGTGTTTAAAGTGGCATTGTAGGTCACGACAATATTTGACCATGTGACAAAGAAAAATAAAAATAAGAAACAGAATTTATAAATATTTGACTGTGCATTCTACATACTTAATTTCCTACATTATTCAACATATTATAAATAATAAACATCTTTTAAATAATAAAAAATATCTAAAAAAATATTTCTATTGAGTAGATATTCTAATAGCTTTTAAAAAGGTATTATAAGGCCTAGGTGATCATTATGTGTGTGTATAAATAATGGAAGGAATTGACTTTCAAAACTTGCATCTATTGAAAATAATTAAACAAACTTAATAAATCAGATAACTTTCTCCGATTCATCTGTTACTTATAAAGAACCACTTCATGTATTAACAATCAGGCACTTCAGGACAAAATAGTTTTTTAAAATACACTTTTTAGCCAATTCCTTTAAAACTTACAAGTTAATTATGAAACTAAAAAAATTAACTATAACTAAATAATACTAATCTATACTAATATTATAAAGCTGAAGAGTTTGTTTGTTTGTTTGTTTGAACGCGCTAATCTCAGGAACTACTGGTCCGATTTGAAAAATTCTTTCAGTGTTAGATAGCCCATTTATCGAGGAAGGCTATAGGCTATATATCATCACGCTAAGAGCAATAGGAGCGGAGCACCAATGAAGAATGTTTCAAAAACGGAGAAAATTTATTACTATTGAGAGACGCAGACGAAGTTGCGCGGGTCAGCTAGTTGTTAATATATGTGAACATTAAAACTAAAAGATAATATGATAACAACTCTATTCAATGAAGCTTGAACCAGAATGCAGATGGGAGGCCATACAGTTAGATAGTTAGAAGGAAGTTAGTGAAGGAAAAATGGATGCAGCAAAAAGGGGAAAACAGGGGAAAAAAAACTGGAAGAATATTGTTACAGAAGAGGATAGTGGAAAATATGGGTTAGGGACCATTAATGTGCCTAAAAGTGCATAATAATGATGATAAATACATGTAGGTATCTTTACTGAGCAGCTTAAAGGTATCCAGAACCCTGAGAAGATGTAATACTGCTTACTTAGCCCTACCAGGGTTACAGCACTCACTCAAAGTCACACTTTATATATATATCTACCAGCTAGCGTATATGTAAAGAGATCCCACACAAGGGATCCCAGTGAGAGCCTTCAAGTAATGAATGCAAATTTCTAAATGAAAACATAAATGATGATATGTTATGATGAGTTTTCCAAAATGTTTACTATTAATTTTAAAAGATAGCATTGGAAATGTAATGCTTTATTCATACTATGTTGATACTTGCTATCTACCATTTAAATTCAGGCTTTGATTCTCTTAATGTTAAATGTTTGCATACCTAATTCAACAGTAAAATACTTTTCAAGGAAATCAAAAATTTACAACCGTTGCTATGATATTGGTTATGATCCAAATTAGTTGCTAGCTAACAGTTTAGACATTCTTTTTATCATTTGGAAACAGTAGTTTTTCTAAATGAAAGTACTATGTAAAAGTACTACGTAAATAAGAGTTATATAACCTATTCTGTACCCGATAGGGTATTCACAGATTACTAAGCTAAACAAATATATATTGGTTATATTACAGTTATGTATTTAAAATCAATGTCGTTTTGCAAGGCAAACAGAAACATTACTCAGTATGTTAAAAACCTCCTCCTAAATATCTAGTTTTAGTAATCATCTGCCAACCCTTATCCCAATTTTATTTGGGTTCGGCGCAGTAAGTATGATTCTTCCATTCTACTCTATCATGCATCATCTCACTGTTTACTCCCTTCCTAGCCATATCTTCACTCACACAGTCCATCCACCTTTTCTTTGGTCTTCCTCTTCTCTTGTACCTTTCAACTCCCATACCAAAAACTTTCTTCGCCACATTTACCTGATCCCTTCGCATGATATGTCCATACCAAGATAACCTATTACTTCTTAACTTTAATCCAGTAGCGCTACATTCTCCTATATATTCATACCTAGCCTTGTCCATCCGAGTCACACCACACATCCATCTCAGCATTCGTATTTCGACTATGTTCAGAAGTCTCTCATCCATTCTCTGGCAGGTCTGATGATAGTTTTGTAAACTTGTCCCTTCAGTGTTAAGGGGAACACTTTATCCATCCCGTATTGATTCGATGCTGTACAGTTTGATCAATCACACCATCACATAATAAGAGGGAGTCGAGGTACTTGAAATTACCTAACACTTTAAAAGATGTTTCATATTTTGTGTCCCCGACGTAGAATAAGCAGCTACTCTAACTATATAAGAACTCCCTCTCCTACTCAGTGAGGCTTTAATTGTTAACAGAATTAACATGATCATGTAATAGCTTTAATGTCCATTTGTTACCTGATATTCAAAGTAGTCAGCCTGTGAAGACAGCCAAAGCTACCTGATCCAAACGTTAGACAATTAAAACGTGTGTTACGGCTATTATGAGAACATATTATTTCTCATAAAAATTTATATACCACAGAACATGTTAGTTAAAAAATAGGTTTATCTTACAAATTTTATGTGTTTTAATTGCTGTAAACTATGTGATGATGACTTTTATGCTGAATATGTACTCAAGCAAAACAAAGTACAAGTAACTAGTGATTCTATGAAAGCATCTATTGGCACAACATTAAATACTATAAAACAAGTCAACATACATTATTGGATTAAGGAAATAGGTACAATAATAATTTTATAAACACTATCATTACAATGTTTACAGATTTCCATTTTCCCAAGGCATTTTTACCTTTGAAATTATTATAAAACACAAAGGATCTGTCGGAAGATAGTCCACAAACAGCGATGGCACTAAAAATCCAATGCGTATCAACAGTTGGATTTCATCCATCGCTCCATGTAAACTTTCGTTAAATCTGTGACCGCGTGTATGGCGTGCAATACGTCCGCGTTGAAAAGCAGAATTGCAAAGGACTAGGCGCTCTGACCATTGTTACAGAGGCTCTAGTCGATGGCAAAACCGCGAGTATACAACTGCATAGGATACCACCTCAACAGCGCTGCAATTTATCCTGTGTAGTCTGCAAAATAATTCAATATTTTCACTTGCAAAATGGTCTAAGCTAATGATTCATGAATAGTTGAAAATGGAATTTCACTTAACGTAGAACATTACAAGATAATGCTGACCTTTTGTCTGACCGTTTTGCAAGCTTTTACCAAACATTTTTACTTACGTGAGAAGAAGCGCTCAAATTACTATTAAATTTAAGTATGTGAGTGTGTTGCTTATCGACTAGTGTTTACATAACTAACTGTTAAAAATTGGATATTTTCCC